TTTGTTTCACATAAACCAATTCAGTTCACCATCCCCAATCCAACTTTGCCACTTCTCCATCTTTTAAAAGCAAATTAGAATTGACAAGCCAAATTCTTTGATGTAGGAAGCCAACAGCAGGGATATATCAAAAACAGTGGCAAGAAGGTAATTATTAGCCAAAAGAAATGTTTAAGACAACAATTGTTTAAGCTTTTGGTTATTCTTACAGGGGTCTGTGCCAAAGCAACTTCATTCATATTCACACTGTGTGGGCGTTAGGCTTCAAGAGCTTCTGTAAATGCTGTCCAGAGCAGAACCGAAGGCTTTTTTTTTTTTTTTTCCTTTTTTTTTTTTTGCAACAGGAGTTCAGAGGATAAGGATTTGGTAACTTGTTCACTTACACATGCATTCGAGTTTAAACACTGTGGAAAGTTAAACAGTCTATAGCTTACTTGTACACGGGACTGAAAGCAGCGATCACGAAGCAAAATAGAATAAACTTTATTAACTCCTGGGACAGATGCAGAGAGAACAGGATGCTGGCCAGTGCTGGCAGCCCCTCCCCCACAACTCTCTCCCTCCCCTTATTTTCCCTTCTTCTGTCAGATTTTCTGAACAGGAAAAGGACCCACAGAGAGCTCAGCTTCTAAGGGAAAGATGAGAAGAGAGGAAAGAGGGAGCCTCAAGGTGCCAAAGCACTAAGAGAGGGAAGGAAAATAAATATGGAGGGGTGGAGCCCAGAGGATTAGAAACACAGGAGAGTTAGGTTACACACGAAGGGGTAGGAAAAAGACACCCCACATCCCCGCCCCGCCCCACAATGATACAAATAAGCTAAGATCTTAGAAGTAAATACACAGTGCACCAGAGATACAAGGGCCAGGCTAGAGGAGGCTTTCGGATGGAGGAGATGATAGATGGTGGTCCTTTCGCTTCAGCCTTACCTCGTTGGACAAAATGCTTCCGTTGGAGATGATGTCTGGCTGCTGGTCGCTGTAGCCGGTGACGATGGCCCCGCAGGGATTGTGCTCAGTGTCCGTACTCCGAGAAGGGCTGCAGGGCTTAAGGAACATCAGGTCGGTCTTAGCGGACTCTGGGGTCAGGCAGACCTGGTAGCAGTAATTCTGGTTGTGATGGTGAGAGCCAAAGCCCCCGGACTCCTCCACAGGTACCTGGGCAGGGTTACTCGGGACGTTGGAGCTCTGCACCAGCATAATGTCCGACTTGCTGAGTTTTTTCTTGCGAGCCCGGGCTTGGCGGCCACAGCAGGTCGACCCCCCACTGCCACAGCAGCAACAGCAGAGACAGCAGTCGCTGGCCAGACACGTGTAGATGTTGAGCTTTTTCTCTTTTTGGCAGCGCACAGCCAGCACGATCATGGCCAGCAGGAAGATGAAGGACACCGAGCCCAGCGCTATGATGAGGATGAGGGTGAGGTCCAGCGAGGTTTCCCCGCCGCCCGAGCGGCTGGGGCGCTGGTGCTCCCCTGACCCTCCGCCTCCGCTCCCGCCCCCGCCCTGGGGCTCCACGGCGCCATCCACCAGCTGCACCACCAGCGTGGCCGTGGAGGACAGGGGCGGCTGCCCGTGGTCGCGCACCTCGATCACCAGCTCGTAAGGCCGCTGGGGGTCGCGCTTGGCTGGAACCCGGCGCGCCGTGCGGAGCTCGCCGGTGCGCCAGTCCATGCGGAAGAGGTTCATTTCGTTGCCCCTCACGATGCTGTAGGTGAGCCGGGCGTTCTCGCCGTCGTCCGCATCCACCGCGGCCACGCGAGTGAGCAGGTAACCTGGCTCCGCCGAGCGGGGCAGCACCTCGCGGGCTGGAGTCCCATTGCGCCCGGGTAAGGGCGCCACGATGGCAGGGGCGTTGTCGTTCTGATCCACGATGAGGATGTTGACGGTGGCGTTGCCAGCCAGCGCCTGGGGGCTGCCGGCGTCCCGGGCTTCCACCTGAAAGCTGAAGTCCTTGAGCTGCTCGTAGTCGAAGGATCGCAGGGCGTACAAGTAGCCGTTCTCAGAGTTGATGGACACGTAGGTGAAAACGCTCATGCCCTGGATCTGGCACTCGAGAATAGAGTATTCTATCTTGGCATTGGCCCCCTCGTCGCGATCGGTGGCGCTCACCGCGTAGATGTAGGCGCCTGGCACGTTGTTTTCGGTCACATACACGTCGTAGACCGGCTGGCTGAAGCGCGGCGCGTTGTCGTTCACATCTGACACTTGCACTTGGATCGATTTACTGGTGGAGAGCGCCGGCTCACCCCGGTCCCGCGCCACCACGGTCAGGGTGTAGGAGTCCCCGGCCTCTCGGTCCAGGGGTGCCTCGGTCACGATAGTGTAGTAATTCTTGAAGGAAGACTTGAGGCGGAAGGGCACGTCCCCCAGCAGCTCGCACTGCACCTGCCCATTCTCCTCTGAGTCGCGGTCCGTCACGCTGAACAGGGCCACCACGGTGCCGGGCGCCGCACCTTCACTCACCGCCTCCTTCACGGTGCTGAAGCTGATCTCTGGCGCGTTGTCGTTAGCATCCAACACTCGTACCAGCACCTTGCAGTGCGCAGGCACAGCATTGGGGCCCAGGTCCTTGGCTTGCACGTACACCTGGTACACTGGGCTCTCTTCATAGTCCAGCTCACCGCTCACTTCCAGCCGGCCGGTGCGCGGCGAGAGTCCGAAGAGCTCCCGAGCCCGGGGCGAAATGTGGCTGCTGAAGGAGTACACGACCTCTCCGTTTTGGCCCTCATCCGGGTCGGTGGCGTTGAGCTGGATCACTAACGTGCCCGGGGGCGAGTTCTCGGGTAGGGACACAGTGTAGACGGGTTGGTCGAAAGCCGGCACGTTGTCGTTGGAGTCCAGCACTCGGATGGTGAGTAGGGCCGTGCCCGTGCGCTGCTGCTGGGGGGGCAGGCCCGCTCCCCCTCCGCCTCCCCCTCCTTCGCCGGCGCCTCCCCCTCCTCCCCCGTCCACCGCGGTCAGCACGTAGCGGTGCACCGCTTGCTGTTCTCGGTCCAGTGGCTTCTCTAGCACCAGCTCGGCGAATCGGTTGCCATCCCCCTGGGTCTGAACGTCCAGGGAGAAGTAGCTGTTGGGGGTGATCTCGTAGTCGCGCAAGGAGTTGGTGCCCACGTCTGGGTCGAACGCGCTCTCCAAAGGGAAGCGGGTACCTGGCGTGGCGCTCTCCGAGATTTCCACCGTCAGGTCCGGCTCTGGAAAAGAAGGGGGATTGTCATTTATGTCCAGCACCTCAATCTCCACCCGGAACAGCTCCAGGGGGTTCTCCAGGAAGACTTCTAGGTGCAGGACACAGGAGGGGCTCTGCTTGCAGATTTGCTCGCGGTCGATCTTCTCATTCACGTACAGCACCCCAGTTTCCAGGTTGAGGTCCAAGTAAGGGGTCCGTGAGTTGGGCACTGTCTGAAACCTGCGAGCTGAAAGTTTTGTAATGTCCAAGCCCAGATCTTCAGCGATATTCCCCACGAAAGTGCCATGTTCCTGCTCCTCCTGCACCGTGTAGTGAAGCTGGGAAAAGACTCCTTCCACCATCCAGCGCAAGGCAAAGAATAATAGCACAATCATCTCCAAAAGGAACAGAAGCAGCTTCCCTTAGCCAGTCAGCCACCCAGTCACCTCCCCCACCACCACGAAGAAAATCTCAAAAAAAAAAAAATACAAATAAAAGTGTACTGCATGGGGGGGGGGTTCCTGTAGCTTTGTGTCTTTAAAAATCTTATTCCTTTTGCTTCATTTTAGAGCTTCCTCCAATCCAGCCTCATTTTTCAATCTTAGCTCAGGAAGGGTGACAGATGCCCCTTTCCTCATCTGTAATCTTCCTCTGACCAATTAATAAAATAATGATAATACAATAGTCAGCGTCCTTTATTCCGACAGTCTTGGCGCAACGCGGCGCTGGCAAATCCCAAGGAGGAAATTTCGATGTTTCAAGACTGTCCTCGGTTTGTCTTCTTGCTGATGGGAGGAGAATGAGGAGGAGGGAAAGAAGGAGGAGGAAGACGAAGAGGAAGAGGAGAAGGAAGAGGAGATGCAGCTGGCGCCGCTGAACATGCCTCTTAATGTCAACGGCTGGCAAAGGCAAGAGGGCTTACAAACAGCGAGAGAATACTGTGCCGGAAAAACAAGGAACGGATCTGCAGCATGAAACTTTGGTTCTCTTCATTTCTCCGTTTGAATGTTCTTGACATTGTTTTTCCTTCTTCTTTCGCTCTATTTGTAGTTTTTGGCTTTCACGGTCTTGTTTCTCTCAGTCCTCATCGCCGCCGGTAGTTGTCTCCCTGTGAATGTAACAGGCAACCTTTCTCCTGCTCTTTTCTTCCCAAGCCTATTTCCCTCTAACCTGCCTCTTTTCTTTCCAGTCCTTCCTTCCTCCTGCTTTAGCCTCTGAGCCTGAGATCTCGGCTGGCAGTTTCTGAGCTCAGAGCGCTCGGCTCCTCTGTTTTTGCGCAGCGCCCTCATTCTGCCAACCAATCGCCGGGAAGCACCACCTACTAACCAAGCGCTCATTGGTCAAATATGCTGTCAAACACATACGTCACGCGGCAACCGGGCGGGGCGGGACAAAACCCGGGTCCCGGCTGCCCGGTGAGTGTGAGTGTGAGAGCGTGAACAGCCGCAGGTCCCGAGGCGCCGGCTGGGGACTCTACCGCGGAAAGTTCCCAGTCCCCAGCCGCAGGTAACGGGGAGGGAATTCAGAGGTTCCCCTGTTTGCATCAGCAATTGTGAAACCATAATAGCAACAGCTGCGGTATCCTCTCCCAGGAGCGGGATTTCCAATGATGCTAACGTTCTTTTTCCTTTAAGGTATTTTCCCAGCTACTGATCATGGAAAGAAATCACCAAGAAGGGGAAAAAGTTGCACAAGGGCCACTAATTGGCGGGGGTTACCTAACGTAGGATCTCTCAGCGAGACTGGCAAGAGGACATTTAAAAAGTGGATAGAATGTGACATGTGTCAGTCTAGGAGGGGAGGGATGGGGGGGTCTGCACCGCGAGGAACCAGGCGGTCGGAGCGGGGGACGGGGTGGGTCCTAAAAAGCGGAGGGATTCACGCTAGGAATGTGGGCTGGTAGAGCCTATAGACTTGCAGAGGCGTTAGACGTGCCTATTCCCGCCCTGAACGCACATCCCACCTCTCGCCAAGCAAATGAACTGATTTGGGGACCTGGTTTTGAGCTGTGAGTGCACAGATCAAAGCTCGGAGAGTTTCATTTGTGCTATGCCAGCAGCCCGGCTCTACCGCCCGGGTTCTGAGCAATACCCGGCTTTGCAAGGCGCCTCTGATATCCCTGCGCCTGGTCTGGTCTGGCCGAGTGCCACGCAGCGGCGGAGAGCGTGCGTTATTTTATGCCTTATTATTATTATTATTATTATTATTATTATTATTATTATTGGTGACAGTTGGCTATCCCATCCCGTCCCGCCCCGTGATTGACGAGGGCACCATGCTTGCCCAGCCTCGGGTCAGCTGGCTGGGTGAGGACTGCCTGGCGGCTGCGAACGCGGGAAGGGCACTGATTCGGTTACACACGCGGAGCTCCGAGTGTGCACTGCTGCGGGTCTGTGCCAACACGTCTGCACATTTTCGGTGCCCGCGTTCCCCCATCTGGTCCCAGGCCTCCTGAACGGCGTGCGCCCTGGCAGAGTCGCCCTAACACCGCTGGACGGACGCGCTTGGCCAGCTCTGTGCCCACTGGCGAGGTGCGGGGGCCAAGCGGCACAGCGGCGCAGCCAGTTCCCGTGAAGTTAAAACACAGCGCGAACTCTTCAGTGCTGGAGAGTGGATTGCATGCCGATCTTCCAAGGCAAGATCCATAAATTCATGTACTTAGAGTAATTCATGGGCTACTAGCAAGGAATACGTTGTTTATTCACTAAAGCAGCCCGGGTTCAGTTTTCTTCTTAGGCTAGAGGATAGGAAGGTTTCCTAGCTGCTTTCTGGTAATGAAAGACCCAAGAGTAACACCGCCTCCACCTGCGAGGAAAGCGAGTCCTTTCTGACCCAGAGGTATGTGCAGTGCCATTCCCTCCAGGCAGGGAATTCCGAGGCGCCAGCGTCCACGCACGCGATCGTGGGCCGAGGCGTGCTCCTGCAAGCCCCGCGAGTTCGTGTCCACCGCGACCGCCCCCCACCCCCGGACTCTTCCGGGAGATGGGTCCTGCCTTCCCGCGGGCAGAAGGAAAGGATGCCAGCAAAAATGGCTAATCCTTTCCCAGCTGCAGTAGATTGCCGACTGGGCAAAGCCAAGGGAAAACCGCTGCAGTTAAAATGATTCTAGCGTCACGTCTCTGACTGCGAATGGAGCGGCGGTGCACAAAACGACCTGTGGATCGATGAATAGAAGATTATAGTATACCCGAATATTAATACAGTGTTGCGTCTCTGCTTCCCACCCTTTCCCCTTTTTTCTTTTTCTTCAGATCTGCACGGGGGCAATAAAATGTTTTGTCTTCAAGCTGATTCATCAGAATCATGGAGCCGTGTGAAAATGACGGTAATTTTTTAATATGCTCGTTTGTACGTGTGGAAACACTTGTGTGTGGGCGCGTGAGAGACATGCGGCTGAATGACAATGCAGATCCCGAATTTGTTTGGGAAGGCAGGTTTCTGCATGGAAACTGTACCGAGAGTTTTTGCCGATTTAGGGCGTTTGCTGAAAGCCAGAGAGCTTGCAGAGAGGGTGATGAGAATGTGGAGAGATGGCCAGATTTCCCTGTAAATAATCACTACATCCACTGTAACACTTGAACTGCACGATTTTTTTTTTTTTGTAGCAGATGTGTGTGAATGGTGTCTCTCCCCTCAAACGTAGGTCACAGGCGTCTCCTAGCGGCGAAAACGGCATAGAGCAAGCCGGATCATTTTGCTTTGGAGCTCTCCTCGAGTATGGCTCGCCTGTTGGGGGCTCTGCTGGATTTCTTGGGTCACCGAAGTCTGTGTCCGCGCCAGCGACGCCAGCCCAGGGGCTTCCAAAGATCTACTCTCGTTGACTGTTAGTCTCTGTGGCGCCAGCCCATAGCCGTAATGGTGGGGTCTTCAAGGGAATGACCGGAGCCCAGCCTCCCCCACCACTCCCTGCGAGGCACTCTCCTATGACCGTTGCAGAAGCGTTTTATTTGAAGCCCAGATTTAGATACCGACATTAACAACCCTTTCTGCCTCCTTACTTTTGAGGCATTAACATAACCCACATAACAACCCTGTCACCCACAAAGCAAATCAATTTAAATTTGCATTTTAAAAATTATTTTAAAAATCTTTTTAAAAATACAGCAGGTGTACATTCTCTATGGCTGTGGGGCCCAGCAGCTCCTCCCCACTCCCCCCGCCCCACTTTCCTACTCTTAGACCCTAGAATTTCAGAATTGAGAGGATTCCTGGAGTCACATACAGCACCCTGAGTAGGGAGGTCGATGAGCTGCTTGAATGGGTAGAGTTTCAAATATATCCTGCGTTTGCAGGAAGTGGAAAGGGAGAAGTAAATATACGCATAATCCTTCCCTCCCACACCCCCTCGCACCAGGAGCTCCAGCCTTCTGAGTCAACAGACTGCATCCCAGGACAAGGCGGAAAACAAGGCTGCATCATGTGGACAAAGATTATAAAAATCAGTTTTCATAAAAGTCTTGGTTTATATATGAGAGTGATAATGTACATTCGTCTATATTGGGGGGGGGCTCTAAGTGGAGCAGAAATAAGGGACCATTAAGGTTCTTCCAGTACATTTTACCAACTTTGAAACGAGGTTATGAGGTTGCTTTCTTTTCTCTACCCTTTGCTGAAAAGGGCGGAAGGGAAACAAGTGTGTTAACCAGCTTGTGGATAAATGAGTGTTTGCAGTGATTTAACACGACTCAAAAGCAATTTGTTTCTAAATCCTCTTATTATTGCAGTGTGCCCAGAGCTTTGAGAGAATAAGCTTTTTACCCCTTCTTTTAAAGAATTGGAAGGCAAATTTTTAATTTATTAATAAGAAGCGTTTCAAACTCCAGAGTGGACCAAGATTGAGTTAGATGGTTCCTGGTGCTTCCCATTTCCAGCAGGTGTACCTCAACGTTCAAATGCCAAAGACCCAGATGGACTGTGTGTCCTATGTGTGACCATGAAATGGGTTTACTCGTGGTAATGTAACCCAGCTTAACTGGAGAAAAAGGAAAGTTTTGGAGTCACACAAAGCCAGTGTGTTAGCTTATGTTTATCTGCAGAAAGAGTGAATAACAACTCGAATTCCTGGGAAACTTTTATAACATATGCTCTTATAACTATTCAGGTAACCTAGTTACTGTGTTATAATGTTTTGTATCCCATAAAGAACAATCTTTTTTGAACTGAGAATATTAGATATTCCATTAAGTACCATTGTTTTGGTGTTCAAAGTAGAAATTATTCAAAGCAGAAATGTGCCTCTCCATTTTGTTTAACCTAGCTGATATTGGTGTGGCTTCACGTTTCAGTGTCTTCTCAGTGATCAAACAGGGCCAGCATTTTGTTAAACTCTAAACAGTGAATTAAAAGCACTGAATGAGCTGAAGCAGCCCTCTAATGCAAAATGACAAATTGCACTTAAGCAGTACATGAACAAGAAAATGATTTATGGATTTTTACAATGGCCTGTGCAAATGAAAGCAACATGAATTATACATCCTAATGTTCACGATGTCATTTTCTAATAATACTGTTTCATTTGAGATACTATATCCCTTTCAACAGAAGTTGACCAATGAAAGGTCCAGAAATATTTTTAAAATAGGAAATGGCTTTGACAAGGATTCTGTGTGCATTTGTGTATGTATATAGTATATATTTGTAATTATATGCATAATAGATGTGTGTGTGTGTGTGTGTGTGTGTGTGTGTGTATTTTCCCTGGGTATTGGGATGAGATGAGTAATTAATACTGAATACATACTTGTGCCAGATCCTTTACATATCATATTTTTATAGTAAGTTGTCTCTTGAAAACATAGTTGTTCCACACCATCTTTCAGAATTCAAATGAGTTAGAATGCCAGTCTTTAATGGCTAATGACCTCTATTTCCTGAAAACCACAATGCATTACCTCCTCTTACCATTTCTCCCATTGCTTTAGATATTGAAAATCTTATTTCTCAAATATGCCTTTTAATTGTTTCATATTTTGTTTAACTATTCTTTTCAAAATTTTTCATTCCTTAGTGTATTAAAAATACACGGGTTAATAAAAAGGTTGTACAACTTCTTTTCTCTCCTCTTCCCACTTTTCTTTTACCTTTACTTTTTTACCTTTAGTAGACAAAAAGTATCCTATGGGGTGTCTTTAATTAAAAAAAGTCAGTCTAATAAAATGTATGTGATGCTTGTGTTGTAAACTAGAAAAATACAAAAATGTAGTTATTGCTGTTATAAAAAGCACTTCTAATATTTTTATGTAGCCATTTGTAGTTTATACAGTGGGTGTTTTTCAGAAATATGTACAATTCTAAGTGAAGGTAATACCTTTACTGTGTTGCATATTTGACCACAGGAAAATGCTCATCACCCAGAGGCCTCTTGAGCCGCATTATGAAGCTTAATATTAATTATCCAGTTTTATAAAAAAAAGAAAAAGTGAATCCTAGTTTCAACTTTGACAGCATTAATAACCACTCTTACTGAAAGATACTGGAATCGGTGATGTGATTAGGATTGTAAATGAGACCTGCAAGACATTTAAAAAGCCAGCTGCTTTGCTAACAGGGAGAGGTGGTGAGTTTTACTGATGGAGCCCAGGGTAGAAAATGAAGCTTGAGACATCGAGCTCGATATAGAACAATTTCAAAAATTAATTGCAAGTCCTGATTAACTTTATTTGAGTAGAAAGAACTTGTCCAAAGGTTTTTTGTTTTTTTTTTTTTTTTCCTTCCCCAGTGGTTTCACTTCTTATCTGACAGTTATCCAAAGCCAATGTAGTATTAGTGTTTGTCTGGCAAGTGTAAATTGTTTCCTTAAAGGAAGACCCTTGGTTTCTAATACAGAATTAGATTGTCCAAATTGTAACTGAAGTTACAAGCCATACCAGTTTATAACACAAGTTGTATTAAGAGTTTTAAAATATAATTGGAGACAAGCACTATGGAAAGAATGTCAAACATAAATTGAAAATTGCATTAGTGATTAGAATTAAATTAGAATTATGACAGGAAATTACAACAAACAATAAATAGGTCCTTCAGTTTAGAAAAATCGCTTTTTTATTGTTCAGATATACAGCTCTTTGTGTAAGAAATTTGATTTTCAAGGTACTTTATAGAAATGAACTTATAATATCATAGTATAAATGTTTTATTGCAATTTTAGGTGAAAGTAACCAGTGGTCTTAAACTACTATATGTCAAGAATTCTTTTATGTTATGATACTTGATTTTTCTTATGCCTATAAATATTGTGTCAACATTATAGACAAGGGCACAACTAATGTTTGGAATGAAAGTAACTCATCAGATTCATACAAGATTCAAATCCAGGCCTTTTGGTGTTCCTGTTCAAATTCTTTTTATTACACTATGATGTTTCCTGAGTCTATCTGAATGGACAGTGAGTTGATGTAGACATGTGATCCATCTGCATTTTTGCACTGATAGGAGTACTGATTTTTCTTATCGTCAAAATTGGCTAGAACACCACTAACTTGTGTCTCCAAGGATTTCATAAACATGTTTTATGTTTAAAGCTTTATTTTCCTTTTTTGAGGTTATTATCAACGTACTGAAGCTTGAAGATGGTTTCTTACCAGAGAGTGAGGCTATAAGCAGTCGTGTCTTTCTTGTGCAGAACTACCTGACATGAGAAGCATAACCTTTAATAAAAGAACAAGGAAACGGATAAAACAAACATGACTAAAGGAAGGCAGTTATGTTTCATCCATATCTGCAAATCGTGGTGTTGATCAGTGGTCTCAAAAGTACTTGTAACTTCTCTAAGTTCATCAGGGGGTAAAAGGAAAGAGAAGCAAAAGTATTGTCACTTTCAACAATGCAAATACCAGAGTTTAATCTTCTGTACATTTCTAAACTACTCTTTAAAAGGTGAAGTAGTTTTGTTGAGTGAACCTGCTTATCATTTTATATTAATTTCTTCTTCAATCGTGGTTTAAATTGGCAAGTTTTGTAACGTGAACACATATATTTAAAATTCTCAGAAATTTAGAAAAGTTAAATATATGTATCATGGGGAAAAATGGAACACAACAACTTTGAATTAATTTTAAATTTGGGAAGAAATAATCATAAGAAGATGATAATGACACTATAATTACTCATCATAAGTAAAATTTGATTTAATCTTTTGGCAGTAAAAACTAATGGAAAAAGATTTCTTCGACAGATATACTCAGTAATTCAGAATATATCTAATGTCATCTCAATAGGTAACTTACAAATCTTTCTTCTGAAACCACTCAACGGAGATAGGAGATGATATTATAAGTTATGAAGACCGTAAACTTGAGAATTAAACAAAACTGGGCTTCATTTTTGCTTCTCCAAATATTTGAATATGGACAAATTATTTAACTTCTTTGGAACCCTGATAGAATGTGCCATGTATTCCAAACATCTGCACAAATGTAATGGTATATTGAACTTGTTAAGTCATTGTGAGGTTTAAACTGCAATGATCTCTGTGAAATTCTTTGTCTACAGTGTAAGCTCAGCAAATTTAACTATTAGCTTACAAAATGTTTTTAATGAGGTCCTTAAATGAGCTTTATTGAGAATAAACGGCATTGATTTTCTTGGTGGTTTTACTGCTTTTATCCACACAAAGTATTTACTAGCAGATATAAGAACAATTTAAGATTTTCCCTATTTTACAGGAAATTATATTAGTTTTAAGACTAAATGTAAATAATAAACAAAAAAGACTAAACTAATTATAGGCTTAAAACCATAAAAGCCAATTTTGATCTTTTCTTATAATCATATTGTTATATATTTAACTTTTATTTGCTATGAATTTTAGAAATTTAGTGGTCAAAATTTATGTGATAAACCAATAAACAGATGAAATTTAAAAATGGTTGAGATAGGAAGCTAATTCTTTAACTTCAAATACCATATTCTTATGTCTGTATTTGTCAAAACTTTAGAATTAATGGATTAATTAATTAATTGATGTTCATTTATTTTTCTTCCAGTTCTTTAAGGTAACATTTGTGTTTATGCTGACTAGAAGTAACATTCTCAAATTTAAAAACAAATTGGATAAAATCAGTCACTTGAAAATAAGATGAGTGCATTAGGGTGTCAGGGTCTGAACATGAAGCCGCAGTTGTGTTTGACTTTCTCTTCAGAATAATCTTCGCAGTGTTCGGCCTGTGCTGGTCTTCTCAGCCTTCTCTACCAGCTTTTTACAGCTGAAAAGTGACAACTTTCCAATGCATGCTTTGTTGCTGAAGTGACAGGAGCCCAGCCATAGGAATACTGAGAGTGGAAAGCAAATCAGGGTCACTGTTCAGGGTAGTGTGTTTCTCAAAGATGTCACATCAGTTTCATAAGGAACGCATTCACTGAGCAAAGGTTTTAATAACTTCAGTAATAAGAAGAGATAGTATTTCAGGAAACAATGACTGTGAATGTAAATACGTGGAGCTTAAATGAAGGATGTGAATGAAATACAATAAGCAAATATTTCTAGAGCATTGCAAGTTTTGTTGTGGTTTTAATGGCAATGGCAGCAGATATTGATGGAAAGAAGTATCAGGAAGACTTGAACCATAAAAATATGGAAATGAGGCAACAAGTTTTCTACAGATATCATAGAAACAGCAAATCAATGTTCTCACTTAGACCCAATATCCTGTCTTGACCCAGTATTTTAAATCTTATCGCCGGCCATTATCCTCTGTTGATTTACTGTTTATTTTCACTCTCAGCGTAGCCAAACTTAAAGTCAAAGGAGATAGGTGAGGTCCTCATTCAGCTTTCAGACTTGAATAACAGCTTTGGTGTATCGTGGGCCAGCAGCCAGGGTTCAGTCTTAGGGGTTTGATAAAACCTAATATTATCATTTTCTTACCAATATGTTGGAGATAGTTAACTGCTGCTAATAAAGTGCCTGCTGCTCATTTTCTCCAGCCATTTATATATCTGAACCTTCATATAGCCACACTTTGTAACCAGTTATCTAATGCAGCTAGAATACATGTACATTCTGCTGAACAAGACAAGTAATGAAGTATTGTTTATTTGAAAAAAAAATGTGTAATGGGTTCTTTAGACTCATGGAAACTGTCATTCAGTTGAATGGTTGCTTTATTTTCTTGGATTTTTTTGACCATATAAGCAGTACTTTGTGAAGATTTGCTGAGTGAACAGATATTTAACTTTTTAATTTTCTACTACTATTAATCTTAAAAGATAATTTCTGGGATATTATACTCAATTCCCCAAACTGTGTTTTTAATGATATATATTTAGGAAATGTCTTTTTAACTTAGCTATTTCAAAGAAACCTTACATAATGGAAAATTCTCTGTGTATTACTACAAAAGTGTTAAAACACTTTACCTCTCACAACTTTCTATTAAAATATAACTCACTAGACTACGGTTACTCAAAAGTGACACTTTGTTTTATAATTTTCCTTCTTTTTTTCTTATTTCATGTATACAATTTTTAATGGCTAAATATGGCTAAGACAGATACCATACTCAGTGTTCTGAATTGTTTTTCTCTTTTTATAAGGTCATGATAATATTCTAAGCATGATGCCTTGCTAGGAAAGCATTTCTTTCAGATTGAAATGTCAGATATTAAGAGTACCTATGATAGTAAGCATTCTATGGTAAGACAGGATGTTTGCTAACTGACTTGGAATTGGGAAGTATAATTTTGAAACACGTTGGAGGGCTATGTCAAATGGAAAGAGCTGATTGTAGATTCAAAATGATGTTTGGAATTTAAAGCCAAAAGATACAGTCTCACTGCTAACTTCTCTTTTCCTCATTCTTCTTAATTAGAGATATTTTTGCTCAGAAAGGTGCTGTGGTCATTGTGATATATTTTAATTTTTTTTTCTCTTGAGTTGATGGAGAGCCATAACTTCTTTATTCTGTAACTAAATGACTCACATTGTTTGCAGTGTTGATGTTAAGAAGTTTAGGAATACCTTGGAATTTTGGCTAGTGATTATTTATACATGTAGGATTGAGAGTAATCTTGTGACACTTTTCACAGGCCAAGAGAGTTTAGGTTATTAGGCAAGAATGAAAAGATTAAAGTGGAATAGAAAATACATGTGCACCCACACAATAACATATACCTGGTGGGATTTCGGAGAACATGGCGTACAGATAGCAGCAGCTACAGAGGCTGTCTGAGAGACCCAGCTTAGAATCCAGGAATGGTGCGGAGTAAGGAATCCTAAGCAGGAGGAGATATGCCCTGCTGACCCAAGAATGAACTGGGCTGAGAGAAACCAACTGGGAATGCAATCCTGGTGCTATAACAAGAACAGAAAAGCCTCAGTGTGGAAGCTGGAGCCTGCGCGATTGGATGCCGCAATTTGGGTTTCCCACTGCCGCTGCTGTGTCTACATCGTCTTCGCAGGGAGAGAGACATGCAAAAGCCCTGAGAACGGGAATCGGTGAATGGAGTTGAAAGCAGGATGGGCCGGGAGCTGTGCATTGACCTGCAGTGAGTGAGAGAAACTGGGACTCTCCCATGGTCTAGGAGACTCCAACAGAGGACATTCTGGGACCTGGCAGACTTGCAGGAACAGGGTGCTGTAGTGACTTCCGTCATGTATCCCCCTCTCAATCGGGATTGGTGAGCAGTGCCTAGCCTACGTGACGCTGCTGGCTGAGAACCAGTAAGCTAGCACAACCCAGGTTCCAGTGCCTGAAGGTGACCTGGAGGGGCCGGCTGCCTGGTCTGCAACTTCCTGGTGTGCTGCGGTGGGCGGGAACACCTCACCAGCACAATTCAATCAGACTGTGGCTGACAGGCAAGGAAGCTGGGCCTCCTGTATATGCTTGCATATATAAGGAACAAAGAATATGGGAAGAGGGAGTAACAAGAAAGGCTCCTTGGCCCCCAATCCTGAGAAAGAGGCAATAGCAGACACAGCACCAATAGATATAAAGCGCTATCTGCAGAGCCTCATAGATGAGTTCAGGAATGAAGTAATTAATGACCTGAAGCTAGAAATAAGCAGAATAGTTAGAGAAATGCTAAGCACCACCCAAGAAAAAACAGATGGTGGAATGGAAGAACAGAAAAAGAGGGGAGAATTATTTGATGGAGAAAATAGAGAAAGCATAGAATGCATGAAGCAGGTTCAAAGAGATTACCAGGAAACTAAAAACTCTATCAAAAACTGGGATAACAGTTTGAAAGAAACTAAGGACAGATTATCTGAACTGGAGGGCAGATTTTTAATATGGGAGCATGAAATGAAAAACTTCTTAAAGATAACAAAGAAAAAAACAGCAATAATACAAAGACTAGAAGATGATAAGAGGATCTATAACTTAAGAATTAAGAACATAGAAGAAGTAGGGACACAAACAAATGAACTACAAAAGCTACTCACAGAAATAATGCAGGAGAATTTTCCTAATTTAGCAAAAGGTAAAGATACTCAGTTATATGAAGCATACAGGACCCCAGCCACCTACAATCCAAACAGAGCTACACCCAGGCATATAATAATCAAAATTCCAGAAATCCAATACAAGAACAGAATATTAAAAGCCATCAGAGACAAGAAACAGATCACTTACAAGGGAACACCCATCAGAATTACAGCAGACTTCTTGGCACAAACCATCAAATCATGAAGAACATGGGGGGAAATAATTCAAACTTTGAAAGATAATAATTTCCAGCCAAGATTGATATATCCTGCACAACTATCCCTGGAAATTGATGGAAAAACAAGGTGCTTCCAGGATAAAGAGGAACTAGGGGAATATGCAACCACCAAGTCAACTCTACAGAGAATACTGCAGGATATTCTAAAAAAGAAAAATACCAAGAATCCAGAAATAGTGGCAGAGAGGCCACAATGAATGGAGCAGAAAACAAAATGAAGAAGACAAACTGACAACTAATGACAGAAAAAGTGCTCAACAGAAATGAGGCAGAGAAAATTGGATGATAGGTACAGCTATTTTGGAGAAAATGATGTCATAATAGGTAACACTGATTTAGTATCATCTTGTTTTGAAGTCTTATCAAGCTTTTGTTCTTCTGTATCCATTGGTCTAAAATGGTTGTATCTTATTGGATTTTATTATATATGATAGTGTAAACAAAAACTTTTATAGACAAGGAGATTATACAGAAACCATTGTTCATTTTCTGTTAGTTGATTTTAAATACCCAGTAATACTGTCATTCTCTTAAATGGTTTTACATTGTTTTGATATATTTGATGCTACGGTATACAAAGTTATACTCAAAGATTTCAAGGAAAGAGACAATATGGTAACTACTTTTATGTCAGGATTATCTTGTGGTGAAACACTATTTTGCTTAAGTGGTTATGTTTTGATCTGCGCTGTTTTGCTGTTATGCCCTCTTTTATCTCAATCTCCATTTTATTATTTACTTTTTATTTTTATCCTTTTAATTAAGGTAATAATGAAAAATAGGATACATTATAGTAACCCACTTTGACTTTCCATTATCATGATTTAAAGCCCTGTATTGCTTTCACCATCTTGTTTTGACTGATGTCCCTCTATTCTGTTTTGCTTGATAGTACAAGGTTCAAAAGTTTAGGCAACAGCTGTGAAGATAGTGGGATTCACTGTCAGCCCATTCTGGTTGGCTATGATCTACTTTTGAAGACCTATAATGTCTCCAATGTTTTGGTTTTGTTGGTTTCATTCTTTACTGTTTTGTTCAATTTTATTATAACTGATGATATAGGCACTTCTATTAGAGATAGCAGAAGGCATTATGGTAACCATTGTTGATCACCTTGTATTATGCTTTTACATTATCTATTATGTCCATCCTTTTGATTTGACTGACTCTGTTTTGCTATGTCATATTTGGTTTTACTCTCTTTGAAAAAAAGTAATAAGAACTGTGGGAGCAACAAAACCCAAAAATGTAATTGGCACTGTACAAAAGAGAGGAAAAGAAAGTGCTCTAAACCATATAACTGCATGTATATTTAAGTGTATAAGATAGATAATGATATTACTGAGTTTTGTTGGATCATTGAACAGAACTGTTTGCAGTCTCACTGTTGGAATGTCCACTTTATAAGCTTTAATTGTGTAACTTGAACAACTATTTCTAAGATGACAATATGTAATCCATTAACTAGTGATTTCCTACTGTTTATTTTTTTTCTGCAAATCTGTATAACTTTTACCCTTTCTCTGCTTTTTTTTTCTTTTTCTCCTTAAATTAAAAATAAATAAATAAATAAATAAATAAATAAATAAATAAATAAACCTGGTGGTTAAACCATGCTTTTCACATAAGAAAATATAAACAGATTTGGGAAAAAATGAATCACATAAAGTCAGATGCCAGTAAATACAGAAGTTTACTTGGTTTCCAAAGGAAAACTTGCACATTTGTTGTAAAAGGAAAGGCTTAGTTTAAATGTTATTTTACTTAATATAGAAAAAAATCAATTCCAAATCAAAATTCACACGGTTCCTCAAGTGATGGATGCAATAACAATAAGGAGAGGAAGGAAAGGGAATGGAAAAACTCATTTAGATGTGCTATGTGTGTGTACCAACTTCACATAAGCGATGTAAAGTATTTATTAGCCATTGCAAACGCACAAATAGATAAATAGCCATAACTGTATACTTACAGCATGGAATATTTATTTCATTCTGGAGATGTTTCTAAAAACAGGAGCTAACCTTGTGCCTTTAAGAGATATTCCTGAAAGTAGGAATAACACCCCCCCACACACACACATAAATATATATATATGAAGGACAGCAGAAGTGGCAGATGTTTACCAAAGACACCAAATAAAGCCTTCTTAGGAGTTACTCCTCGATAGCCATTGTCTCCTGATACTGCTGATGATGGTGACTGAGAGGATCTGGACAGGGAGATTGTCACATGAAAATTTTGGAGCTTCTTTCCTAAGAGTCCCTTGCGACCTTGGTACAAGAAGAGACATGATTATTAGCTTTTGGATTTATTTTTATTTAAAGAATTTTTAAAGTCCTTGTTTTTGGTGTGAAAATTCCAGAAAATCTAAAAAGTTTTACTTTAGGTGAAAGAATGTTTACTACTAAGTTAGCTTATACATTTGAGGTGAAGACAATTTCTCTCTCTCTCTCTTTTTTTTTCGATATCTTGAGAGCTTTTACTTCTAACATACATAAATAGATTTTTAAAAAGCATTTTGCTAAGTGGAAAGCCATGTTTGCTAATTTCTTAATGCCTTTTACTGAAATTCCTAGTGGAATTTTAAAAAAAAGTTTTTGTTTCCTCTTTTATTTGTGTATTAGTATATTGATCTTAAAATTTATATATTTAGAATTAAAATAAGTAGGACCAGTTTTCTCAGAAAGTCAAAAAGTAAGCATTCAACTTAGAATATACAATTTAATTAAAAATAAATTGATCTTTATTGTTTTTCTTAGTAGCATGTCAGAGTAAAGCTATGTTGAGGTTGAAATAATATATTAAAACTCCCTACAAAAATGATTTTCTTGTCTACTATGGTTAGAAATTTCAGTATAGGTGATACATTGCTAAATTGTGTAATATTTAAAGTATAGCATGCCTGGGAACATGAGATCTGAGTCTTCATTTGCAAACTGTAAGAACACCTTAATTTATTACTTTATCCTTAAAGTTGATCCTTAAAGTATCTGAGGAAATGTTGTGTATTATAGAACAAAAACGTAGTGAGTCTTGCAGTTTTAAATTTAACTATTGTGAATAAAGTATAGAAAGGAAAAATAAAGCCTTTGATATTTAGTGACATTTAATAATATGGTAAGGTTGTCTTAAACTGTCAATAATGACCCAGTGCCTGAAGATTTTTTTTTTTTATTATATACAGGGGTATTTGTAAATTTCTTACTTAATCTGAGATTAGGTTGCTATATTTCAGTAAATTGTAGGTGGCAGTGTACACAGCTGAATTATATGTGTTGCAGCAGATAGATGAACATTTTTTTCAATTGGTTAACTAGTTTATTTTATTTCATTTTATTTTCTTGGTTCCAGGGTCCTGAAAGTAGAGCTTTGTGTATGTTAAACACTGAGCTGTATTCCCAACGGTGGCTCACAATCTGATGTTGAAACTTAATGTCTTTCTAGCCTCCTTTTCAACTCTTTCCATTTTTGTTGTGAGTGTATAAGAACAACAAAAGAATTCTGTCAAATAAGAGCATGCTCTTGGGAGATGTTTTAATCTGAAGTTTATTCTGAAAGATAGGAATTATTTAAAAACATTTTTATTAAATAAAGACATATTAGAAGTTGCATAATAGTCACTGGCCAGTTGACTTAGTACTAAAATGAGAATTTAAAGCAAAATGACTCTGAACTACAATGCAGTGACAAAGAATTTCTTATTCTGTCCCACTTTCTGATTTAAAAGTAACAAGCAAATGTGATTTGACTGCTAATTTGTAATAATGTGAAGCCTTCCTACTTTACCGCCCTGAGGTGTAATGCATACCTTTGCAAAAGTGAAATACAAAATTGCTATAGTTTATTCCTGATACATACCCTGAAAGCATTATATTAGCGGGAACCATCATAAAATTATATATGATGTAAAGAAATAAAATAAACTGTAAGCTCATAATTGATAGCTTACTGGCATCTCCTGAAAATAAAAATGTCAGGCGTTAGAACAGGATTTTGATAAAAATCCTCCCAGAGCTCGAAGTGCACCTGGTGTTTTACTGGGAGATGTACAGCCTGCAGCGTTGTGGCTCGGGAGAAGAAGTGAGTCACAAAAACAGGTTCAAATATGTGCGCTCCATGGCAGTTTTCCTGCTTTTATTTTTTCCCCTACATATAAACTTTATGGGACATCTCACTTTCTTTTTGCTATTAAACTGAAACACAGATTCATCATGTATGGAGGAGGTAATGGCTCACTACAGAATATTCTCTCTGACAAAAAAGCAACACTCATCCTTGTTTTGTTTGTGTGTTCTTGAATATGGACTTACGTTTGTTTGGCTGTGTTTATCACTTTGCATCATAATTTGTTGATTTGTGTTAACACAGGCAATGTATTAAATTCTTTGCTGTTATCAGCTTATATGTATTTTTTACCTAAAAATGTAAAAATTGCATCTATACATAGGTTACTATGTTACTATGTGAACTTTCAATAAATACATGTATATATCCTCTTCCTCTTTTTTAAGTATTATTGGGAATTGAACCCAAGGAGAGTTGAGCTATGTTGCCAATTTGTCTATATATATATATATATATATTTTTTTTTTTTTTTACTTTCAATGAGGGTCTCACTAAGTTGCGCAGGCTGGGCTTGAACTTGTGATCCTCCTGCTTCAGCCTCCTAAGTAGCTCCGTGCATCCCTGTATCCAGTTTACAGTCTATGTTTAAATTTGGTTAAACCCATCCGTCTCTTTATTTCTTTGTGGTAAAAATATGTAAAATCCTTCTACCTTTTTGAAATATGTTCTACCTTATCAATAATCATATTCTCACCTAGGCACATGCATGCTGGTTAGTAGTTTTGTTTCATTTGATAATTAACACAAGCAGATACATAAAATATTATTAATTATTGTGTAAAAACATTAGACGTAAAATTTTTCACATTGAAAGTATTTCTGAAAACTTCTTTTCTGCTGGTTTTCTAAACCACATATCCTCAAGGCTTATGTCTCTTAAGTACTTTTCAGTGAATTTCACTCAATTCTTTGTTGTTGTTGTTTGTTTGTTCATCATTTGTTTTTTGATAAGTTAGAGTTATATAGCATTTGGAAATCTGGCCACTCTTCAGCATTTGAAGTCTCAGAGGTAGAGATCCAAGGTGACTATGGTTAGCTATAATGAGTTAATTCTAAAAATAAAGTGAAATCATGAAGATCTATTAAACAAGAGAGATCAGTTCTAAGTCTTGCATTTGTGATGGAGACATGCATTTGGCCTCAAGTTTAGTTATCACTATCACTGACTGACTTACACTCCTGGATAGCTGACTCAGTGTGTTGAGAATGAGCATCATTTTAGCTGAAATAGATTTTGTACTTATAGAGTTACCACATTCATGACAGTTATGTCAGCCTAAAAGGTGTGTGTAAATGTACTAGTTGAGATTTTAATTTTTGTCACTACTCAAGCTTATATTTTAATTAAAAATCATATTCAGCAGTGGTGGATATTGGTCGATAAGTGCGATTGAATTCTTTGGAATATTTGATTCTGGCTTAGGGAAAAGTTTATTTATTTAGGTTATGCCTGAATGTACCTATATAATAGTCTAGGTATCAGACATGTTTCCTTTTAGAATTCATTCTTATATTGTATAAAAAGGAAGTTTAAAACTTCTATTTGAAATGAATAATGAGGAGAAATGTTGAATTCCTGATTATTTATTCAATATACAAGTATATATTGAGCATCTTCAATGTACCAAGATATTTATGCTACACTAAATGAACAATAATTTTGCCTCATTTACCTGTATGCATAAAGGTAATAAAGAAAAAGCGTATTAATGAAATAAATCACTTAGCATATTACAAGGTAAAAAGTGCTTGGAGGAATGGAAAATTTTAAATAGATTTAAAAGGATCATTTAATTTAGCACTAAGTACTTTCTCAAATTTGTGAGGATTATAGGGCCCTGGTATGAGGTTGAATGGGAGTATTAGTAAGTGAACTGTAGTTTTTATACTATGGGAAGATAAAGAAACACTCAAAAGACAAAAATTTGGCTGTTCTTTTATCCTTCAGGAGTTGCTTTAAAGTTAATTTCTCATTAACCACTAAATAGAATGTTTTCCACAAGGCAGTTTGCCCCAAACACCAAATTAGTGGAAATGCCACTAAAATAACTCTGTCACTCTGGTTGCAAAAGGCTTTTAAGGTAAAGGAATGTTTAGATGGAGAGTAGGTTGCTGGTTTTTTTTTTTGTTTTTTGTTTTTTGTTTTTTTTCTGTGTGTGCATGCGTTCATGCACACGTGTGTGTGTGTAAGTGTGTGTGTGTGTGTGAGTGTGTGTGTGTGTGTGTGTGATAGTTACTTTAATTTTTGGATAAACATAACATTTTATTTAAGAATTTTCCAGTGGAGCCAAAACATTTGTTTAAGAAGTTGAGCTCCCAGCAGGAAGTTTTTGAGAAATTTCTTATTTAGCCTAACAAAAGCCTTGCTATCAAGGAGACTGGATAAACAAAAGCAAGGTTAAGAAACTGAAAGTAAAGAAAAATCCAGTTATTTTCATTTGGACAGCAAATTTCACATAGACACCAGTAACACTTAACTTCATAAAACTTGACCACCCTGAGTATGCTCTCATGGATTGGCCTTTGCAAAAAGTTAATTTGTCATCAAGTGACAATGAAAGTACTAAAAATATTGAATGTCAATTTTATGGGCTCTTCTGCAATGCACTATGTGTATAGGTTTGCTACCTACCCATTCTTTACAAGGTTTTTGCCATGCTTCAGTTATGTAATCAGGTAAGTAGTGATTTCAGAATTAGTCCAAGTCTCTGTGCCTGAAAAATCTATAACTACAAAGTGCTCATCTCTTGTCCTGCTCTGGAAAATGTGCTGCTGGAATTCATTATTTTATGGGTATGCCTATCTAATAAGCTTACCTATTTGCTTCCTTAATATCTTCATGCACATATTTATCCATTTATCAAAAAATATGAAACAAACACCTATACACTGGAGGTATTACATGCCAAGGTTAGAGACAGTTTTCTTGGATAAAAATGTTCCTGGAAAAGAGTTAAAGTGAGAGAGTGGGTCTGAGTACCTCATCTCGAACTGCCATTCACTTCTTTCTAGGATACAGCTGCACATAGATGAGATGAGGAATGATGTCTGGCAATGAAGATACATGTAGAAATGGCATGTGTGGTATCAAGCAGAAACTGGGATAAAGTCAGGTTAGTGCATTATACTTAGTCCTGTTACCTGGTCTTTGAATTAAGTAGAGGCATTTTTCTGGTAGTTCAGTACAATCATTCCCATGTATCTAGTCAATCACAAATTATATTAATGATCATTTCGGTAGTTTGTGAAGTCTTTGATTAATTACTTTTATGGTTATTTTGTAAAGAATTTTCATGGGTATAGCACATCATTACAGATTATGTGCAATCTAGTTTTTATGTGGATATAGTTAATATACATATTTGCTATACTGACGCTGTGAATCTGATTTTTTAAAAGTAAATATTTATAATATAATATAAATTATGTAATGCATTAATATGTTTATAATTACAATTCATCATCATTCTGATTGTTTCAAGAATCACATTTAAACCATTTTGCCTCTATCTATGAGCTCTAGTTGAGCAGGATGAACTGAGAATTTATACATATATCTGTGTTGTATTGTTTCTCAATTTCATCATAAAAATTGAATGTATACTCATTTCTGTAGAAAGATTTGTAAATGACATTTATTATCTTCCTCCAAGAAAGGAGAATAAAGTAATTAAAAAATAGTGTAACTTAATTAGCCTACTTGTATCCTCAGAAGAATCCTTACGTGTGAAAAGTATAAGATAGCTTGCCTTTAGCTAATTGAACTACAGGAATTTTTTACGCATTTGTATTTCTCCTTACTTATCTGAGTTAGTTTTGTTCACCCCCAAGTTAGCAAACAAATCCCATGCTATAGAGTTGCATCTAGGTAATAGTTTCTTGGCATCTGTAAATGTATAGTCAAATCTGAAGTTAATAATCAACCCCATTTTGTTACAAAACAAAGCAAAAACCTGCTGCACAAACTTTTACAATAAAGGAATTTTAAAAAGGAAAATACAACATACTCACCTATAAAATTTAAAGGTTTAACATTTTGACATCTAAGAGTTTAACATTGAGATTGAGATTGGCTTAATTTTTCTTTACTGTAAATATTACTAAAAATCCACAAGTTTTGGGATCTTGGTTTGCATGCAAATCCTTTCTTCCCAAGGTAATTGTAGTATTTACTAAGCAGAATTTACCTATTTCAGTTTAGTGTTTCTTTGAATTCAAGCCTCTGTTTAGAAGCCAGTGAATAAAAGGCATCATGCCTCTAATTACTTTTAAAAAGAACCTATTCTTTCTTCTTTGAATACTCTAATTAGATTAAACTTTTTGGGGGAGAAACAAAGCAGAGGGGAGCAGCCAGAGAAGAAGTGTTTTAATGCCAAATGTAAGTTACCAGTCCTTTTACGGACTAAAGAAAACTAAGAAAAACAGCCGCTGCCATTTCGGCTCAATAACTCCAGTACCTCCTAGTGAAGTCATTTTGAGATTGCTGAGTAGAAATACTTTAAAGGTCTATTGTAAAAGAAACAAGAATTTTATTCATTAATTAGCCTCCTCAGAGACTGCTTTGAATTTGCAAAATTGAATAACCTTTTATTCTGTGGTTATAGTTAAAACGTTAAGCTCATTTGATTTCCTGTGTCCCATTTGATTTCACTTTAAGGTTTCACCTTTACAAATGCCTTACACCAGCCCAGTTGCATATTGTTTTTATTTCCTTCTCACTTCAGCAAAAAAGCAAAGAGAAACTTTTCTTAAAATTAACACATGGCAGAGGGTATATGAACTGCAGAATTTAAAGTTCTGGATAATACAACAGGCAGCATAATGGAGAAAACACTTTTGTTTATGCTTTTATGCTTCTACCTTAGTTAGATAATGGAGACTCTTCCCTTGGGAAGAAAATCCTAATAGTGACATCCTTTGCTTGTGGTGCTGGTGATCAGGCCCACAGTTTTGCACATGATAGGCATAGCTCTTCGCCTGAGCTGTAGTCCCACCTTTTAACAATGACGTTTTTGTGTTGTAAAATATCAAGTTTTTAGGGAGACCGTTTTCAGGTTTGGTACTTTTGGATTGAAGTTGATTTAAAGGTAGAATGTAAATAGTGTCCAGGGTTTTGCTGCTAAGCTTACACCATACATTACTTCACTGTTTTAGAATTCCTAAACATTTGAACCCCATTGAACTTTTCTGACAATGAAAAAGAGGATTCTATCCCCAGGGGTAAGTACACTGAACTTCATAAGACATTTTTTTCGTATTCAGCATATCCTTGTATCTTTTAGTTTATTTTCTATTTTTATGTGTATCTATTAATATCTGAGAAGAGAAACATTTAACTGCTTATGCATATGGAAGCACATCGTTTTTACTTTCATTATGTCAAGAGTTTTGCTTTGAGTTTTGGGTAAAATACTATTCAGTGTTTATGTTATTATGAGTATGTAAATCTTCTGGTATCCAAATTAAGTATTATATTTTGAATAGAATGTTTTCTTGTGCAACTATTTTTGTCTGAAAGTTATAGCTTGTTTTCTTATGTGTTTAATTTGTGTATAACTATCAACGCAGCACTCCGAAAACATTATGAAACCCTCTCAGTATGAATATATTGGGTAATCAAAGTCCTTCTTCTTTCCTTATTAATTTATTTATTTGCCTGCCAGCATCCTACCATATTCTTCAGCAGTTGGTCTTGAGGTCAGTCAAACAGCTGCCAAAACAAGTCTTCTTTCACCATCATGTAAGGCATTCTTTTTTGTGGTTTTTTTTTTTTCTATGTTCAGTCCTTTTTAAAAATCTATTCTAATTTATTCCATAATTTTAAGTAAATAGGGTGTCATGGTTTGTGTTTGAATACCCCGTCAAAGCCTCATGCAATCATGAGGTCAAGCTTCTAGAGTTTGTGAATGATTCGTGATCCAATGCTGGGATTATATGTATGAATTCTACCCTGAAATGAGTATGGCTTACATACAATATAAGCGACAGAAAGAGTGTTCCTGTGTTCCTCCCCTTTTTGCTCTTGTTGCTTGTTCTGTTGCCCTCTGCCATGTTCCACTTGGCTTTTGAGTCAGCTTATTATGGACTGAAACATCCACAAACAATGAGTTAAATAAAGCTTTTTTTTCTAAACTTTGGTTGTCAGATATTCTGTCCCAGCAGGGAGAGAAAAGTAACAAAGACATAGGGTGATAAAAAACATAGGGGATGTTTAAGTAAAAATATAGTATAGTACACACTGAAATTAATTCCCCAAGAACAGTGGAATAATCTCCATCATTTTTGACTATTTGGAGTTTTGGTTGCTTAAATATTCACCACATGATTCTTTTGTCTGCTTATTTCAATTTTTTGTTTGTTTTTGCTTTTGTTCTATGTGGGGTTTTTTTGTTTGTTTGTTTGTGAGACAAGCTTTTGCTGTTTCGTTCAGGTTGTCCTTGAACTTGTTATGTGTCCAAGGCTGGTAATCTTCTTGCCTCTGCCTCCCAAGCACTGGGATTACAGGCATGCACTACAGCACACTGCCTACCACGTGTTTCAATCATGCCTTGTAAATACATTCACTGGTAACTGGTGAATGGCTTGTGGCATCCCATTGTGGAGATTCTGCAATTCTGAAACAAATTAAAGACTACCATTTTTTTTTTTTTTGTCTTTTTCATTTTTATTGGTACGGGAGATCAAACTCACGACCGCCTGCTTGCAAGGCAGGTGCTTACGCCGCTGAGCTAAATCACCAGCCCCTAGACTATCGTTTTTAACTGAAGATAGAACTATAGTTTAGAAATTGATATTCCTGTGAATGTTGAAGTGTCTCATTTCCTCTACCTTGCAGTGTTTTTCTTGCAAATTTTATGACATGCTGATTTTAAATGCAGACCTATTCATGTTCATTTTTAGAAGAGTGTAGGATCATCTTTTTATCTATGTTATTTTGGAATTTCAAGTTGATACATGTTCCACTCCTAACAAAAGAAAACAAAAAATATTTCCTTCTACTGAGTATTCAACATAACTTTTTCCATTGTAAAAATTGTGTCTCTTATTCTTTGAAAATATTTTAATTTTTTTATTTCCTAATTTCATTTTTTCTATTTCCGTTTTGTTCTGTCTTATTTTTCCCTTGAAATGTCTTCAGTGAAAGAAGTGCACTACTTTTATTACTGTTTTCATATCTATTTTCCAGCTACTTTTAATTTTCCTGGTTTCTAAATTTTTTTCTTTCCTTGATCTTCTAAATTTTCTATTGGATATTTTTATGTATGCTGTATGCTTAAATTGTAAAGGTTTCTTGTTTTACACTAGATTTACTTTTAATATAATCTCACTGTAGTTTTATGCATTAGCTTTATCTCTTTAAAGAAAAATCTAATATTTTCTTTTAAAGATTGTTCTTCTACATTTCTCCTCTTTCTTTAAATATCTTATTTTATGTTTGTTGATTTTTTTCACCACTTTTTTAGAAGATTGCTTTATGTGTGATGCTTATGAACCGTCCATTCGGTTTTAAATACTGAACTAAAATGTCAATTTAATGCTCAAATAAGAAAATAATAAAAAAGAGATCGGTGTACATGGCTGAGTGTGTAAACAGTTGTACCTCACGGGAGGGAGTGTCTATTAAGGGAAGATTCTGTAGTGTCAATTTCTAAAGTTCCTTTATCTTGGGCTCACGCTTATTGAGCAGAATCTTCTAATCTTCTGCAAATCAGTATATAAATGAGCTAGAGAATTTCACTGTTGACTACTCAGACTTTCTTGTTTCCCTCTTATCTTGCTATATGGGTCTAGTTTTCCAAAGTTAAAAGCTTTTTTTGTATAATATCTCCACAAAATTAATGTGTTTTTAGGAAAGAAGCATACTTTTAGAATTGATGGGAAAGTTAAAATAAAAACAAAAAGGTCAGAAATAAAGGCCAGCCCTCTGTTCTGTCTTCAAACAAATTTTCTCAATCTTATCCCTTTTAGTTCTCTATGAATAGCCTGTACCTCCATTTCTGAGCAATTCAGTGATTTCCAAAGAGGTGCTTGAGTTTCCTCATATTGTTTTTCCCTTGAGGGCATTTTGACATTTGCTTTTGGAACTACACTCTGTTAGTGATCATGCATCTATCTACTTTCCTTTAAAAAATTCCGATGTCTCTCATCTATTATAGTTTCCTTTTATTCCTGTGTTTACGTGTGTTAATGTGTGTGTATTCTATAGTCATTCACTTATCAATTGAATGAGGTTTTGCAAAAGAACAGAAAGAAGAGTCATGTTTGAGCAAAACTCAAATAATGCAACTTCAATTTTTAAAATGATTCTATAACTCAAAATTTTCTTTTTCTTTTTTAGGTGTTCATATGAATGATATTCTGCATTAGTTGAACTAGAAAAATGTGAGGAAATGATTATTTGCTGGCTTTGGAATTCAAAACTGATCTTTCTTTCATTGATGCAAGGGTAATCTAAAAATGAGTATATCTGTATCTTATTGAATCGCTTAAGCAGTAAAGAAATATCATGAGCTTACCACAATATTTTCTACAGTAGTCAAATGAGACAGCTTGTTGATAGGATCACCCTCTATATTTGACTAATTGATAGAATTACTGTACTGCTGTTATATAGATTTTAGATATCATTAATGACTATCAAAATCTTGGTATCACTGACCAATCTCATAAAATATTCTAATTAAATATATAGCACTCAGTAAATATATTAATATACAATAATAAATTTCTGTCACCAATATAGGGATTAAAAAGAACATAGTGTTAGCATGGAAGTAAACTCAAAGGGATGAATTTAAAAGTTATTTAATCATAGTATTATTGGCTAAGCTTATATTTCAAATTAGAAAGTGGTTAGGATAATGTAGATTTGCAATAATGTAGATGTGGGCATTATTATTTCATACAGGGAATGTAAGAAAGACAATGTTGGCAGGAGCAAATGTTGAATTTGGTTCTTCTAAACTATTCAGTAGCATCCTTTAATATAGGATTGAGTTCATCAGAGAGGTCTGTGTGAAATACACAGAAATTATTTGATTAGCTTAATTGTAAAGAACAAAATAATTCCTTATTATAAGTGTTTAATTAAGACAGACATTTATTTCACTCTAAAAGAACCCTAGTAGAGAGAATTTAGGTTAATGTGAGCTCTACAGTCAAGCTTCTTGAAGATATGCTCTGTTTTGATACTTTTGTTGATGCTGGGACAAAATACCCAATACTCTAAGTTAGAAGATGAAAGGTTTTTTTCAGCTCATAGCTTATAGAGGTTTCAGTTCATAGTTGGGTGTTTCCCAAACAGGGAGGCATGGCAGAGGTGAAACAGCTCATGGTGTGCCAGGCCCAAGGCAGCCAGCAGCCAGCAGTGGCAGAAAGCCTGCTTTTCCCTTCTGTCATATCCAGGCTGCTAGCCTTTTTGGTGATGCCACTCAGAACAATGCCAATTTCAATCAGTCAACTAGTGCCACACAACCTTAATCTCTGTATCACTTAACTTAGATCCAGCCATCTCTGAAAATCTCCAACTATGAGCACAGTGACTTGGGGAGGACATCTAGGTGTAAGCCATAACACCTTCTCATCGCTGGTGGAGCACTCCCCCCACCAGGTACAAAGTGTCTGAGGTAAGTGCTGTCTCACAGCTCTGCCTTCTGTAGTTAAATGGAGAGGGAAGAAAGAAGTCCTAGTTCTTACTTAACTTGCAAACAGACTTTACTAACTCTCACAACTATCTGTGCTGGGAACCATGAATTATAAATTGACATAGGATCTCTCCTAGGCTCTCCTTATTCTGTGTGCTTGTGATCCGTTTTGGAACCTGGAAATCCCCTCCTTCTATGTCAGTGTAGCATCTAGGTGTGGAGATGGATCTTGGCTTGTTTCTTTTATGATGCTAAACTTGCCCAGTGCGCCACTGCCTCTACTACCCCTCCTTATGTTGGCTAACAAACAGTGGCAAGCTGGAGATTCACAGCCTTTTTGTTCCTAGAGAGCAACCGGTGGTCCCAGATCTCTGCCATGCAGCCCTCTACTTTGTCTCTTGTTCTTTCTTTCCTTTACAATCCTGTGCTGTAACCCAGGCAGGCCACTGGAACCCATTTCTGGGGTCTCCAATAATGATACCGTTGTGAAGTGGGAAGGGTCTCTAACATATTTTCTTGTCAAGAGTTTGTTGTATCCTACCAAGTTACCCAGAAAGGCTGGGAATGTGGTCTTTCATTTTATCTGATAGCACAAAGGACTAAAAATTGTCATTCTGTATTTAGATAAAGATAAGAAGAAGGAGAATGGATTACACACCTGACAGATAAATTAAGTCACTGGTACATAAATTGAATTTCAAAATGTAGATGTACATGAATCATAAGAAGTATATCAAGATCCTTGGTTTTAAGTCTTACTTTATGGGTTGAGCAGAGACTACTAATAAGGAACTAGAAATACAGAGAAATTCTTAAAGAAGCTTAGAGGAAGGATGAGAGAGCGAGGATTATAGCTCAGATGTTTGGGGTTTGAGCATAAGGAAAATGAAATCAGAGAAAGGAAAGTAAAAATTTGAGGATGGTAGTTTATCGGTTAATATTTACAATATTAAATGATTCTTTATATTGATTATCTACTGAAAGATTTTTATGTATACTACTCCTTTGTTATAGATATTATTATCATCTTCATTTCATAAGTAAGCAAACATGCCTGAAATGTTAATTAATTTTAAGTCCAGACAGAGTTGTAAGTACTAGAGTTGAGACTTAACCTATGTTCCTATTACATGTTAAAATCTGATATATTTTACCTTTCATTTTGAACTAAGAATGTCAGTGGAGGTCAATAGATGCTTTTATGATTTTAGTCAGAGTGAACAGTATGTTAGAAGTAAAATTTCAGTAGAAACATCTTAATGGTCACTATTTTCAAAACAATTTTACCTAGAAACAGGATCAGATGCCCAAGGAACATATTGTAATTACATTTCCACAGTAGAAATTGATCATATTTTTCCAGTGAAAGACTTTTTTTATATTTAAAAACATTACCAACCTCCTTCCAAAATATCCCTCAAACAAGAAAGTAGATTCAGTAAAATTTGCAGTGAACATACACCCAGCAAACATCTATTTTTGTGAAACTGGGGCGTCTTTCTTGAACAATTCCCAAGTGTTCTTTGGAGGCCCCTCCAAAGTCTACTCTTTGCTGTTTGGAGACAAAAGACACAGAAAATGTGAGATGGGAAGTCAGTTACATATTTTTTACATTCTGTATGTATAAATATCTTCATTAAGATCAAAATAAGAAAGTAGAACTTGAATGAGAAAATGGAAGGCTAGCCGAGTTTGGCATTTTCAGAATTTACCTGACAAAAAATATGAAAGAAATTAATTCTATGGTGGGACAAAAGATAAGAAATGACACCAAATGAGAATGACAGAGAAACACAGATGCCTACCGAGGGAAAGCAAAGGGACCTTGATGGGAGTCAGTTTATGCTCTGTGATCTGTCACAGGGGTCAACAGGACCCCTCTGTTCTGTTTGCATGCACCAGAACTTTCCCTCCTCATTTTATTGACAGCTGGTTTTAAGTCTGAAGTTTTTGATCACTTGGTGCATGAATGAGTGGTGGAGATTTTAAGGACTTGGAGGGCATTTTAGGTGTGCACAGGGCCATCATGAGAACTAGCCATGGTAGTGGGCAGGGCACAAAGGTCTGCATGGAGCTGGTTCTCAGCAGTGGCACTGTTGTCCTTTTTTTTTTTTTTTTTAATTTTATTAAGGAGAAAAAGAAAAAAAGCAGAGAAAGGGTACAAGTTATACAGATTTGCAGAAAAAAATAAACAGTAGGAAATCACTAGTTAATGGATTACATATTGTCATCTTAGAAATAGTTGTTCAAGTTAAAAAATTAAATCTTATAAAGTAGGCATTCCAACAGTGAGACTGCAAACAGTTCTGTTCAATGATCCAACAAAACTCAGTAATATCATTATCTATCATATACACTTAAATATACATGCAGTTATATGGTTTAAAGCACTTTCTTTTCTTCTCTTTTGTACAATGACAATTACACATTTGGGTTTTGTTGCTCCCACAGTTCTTATTACTTTTTTTCAAAGAGAGTAAAACCAAATATGACATAACAAAACAGAGTCAGGCAAATCAAAAGAGTGGACATAATAGATAATGTAAAAACATAATACAAGGTGATCAACAATGGTAACCATAATGCTTCCCGCTATCTCTAGTAGAATTGCCTATATCATCAGTTATAATAAAATTGAACAAAACAGTAAAGAACAAAACCGGGAAAACCAAAACATTGGAGGTCATCAAAAGTAGATAATAGTCAACCAGAATGGGCATCATAATGAATCCCACTATCTTCACAGCTGTTGCCTAAACTTTTGAACATGGTACTATCAAGCAAAACAGAATAGAGGGACATCAGTCAAAACAAGATGGTGAGAGCAATACAGGGCTTTAAATCATGATAATGGAAAGTCAAAGTGGGTTACTATAATGTATCCTGCTATTTTTTATTTATTTTTTCCTTAAAAAAGGACAAAAATAAAAGTAAATAATAAAATGGAGATTGAGATAAAAGAGGGCATAACAGCAAAACAGCGCAGATCAAAACATAATCATTTAAGCAAAATAGTGTTTCACCACAACATAATAACAACATAAAAGTATTTACCATATTGTCTCTTTCCTTGAAATCTTTGAGTATAACTTCGTATACTGTAGCATCAAATATATCAAAATAATGTAAAACCATTTAAGAGAATGACAGTATTACTTTGTATTTAAAATCAACTAACAGAAAATGAACAATGGTTTCTGTATAATCTCCTTGTCTATAAAAGATTTCCTTATACTATCATATATAACAAAATCCAATAAGATACAACCTGTTTAGAACAATGGAGACAGAAGAACAAAAGCTTGATGAGACTTCAAAACAAGATGATACTAAATCAATATTACCTATTATGACATCGTTTTCTCCAAAATAGCTGTTCCTATCATTCAACCTTTTCTGTCTCATTTCTGTTCAGCTCTTTTTCTGTCATTAGTTGTCAATTTGTCTTCTTTATTTTGTTTTCTGCTCCATTCATTGTGGCCTCTCTGCCACTATTTCTGGATTCTTCGTATTTTTCTTTTTTAGAATATCCTGCAGTATTCTCTGTAGAGTTGGGATTGGTGGTTGCATATTCCCCTAGTTCCTCTTTATCCTGGAAGCACCTTGTTTTTCCTTCAATTTCCAGGGATAGTTGTGCAGGATATATCAATCTTGGCTGGAGATTATTATCTTTCAAAGCTTGAATTATTTCTCTCCACACTCTTCGTGATTTGATGGTTTGTGCCGAGAAGTCTGCTGTAATTCTGATGGGTGTTCCCTTGTAAGTGATCTGTTTCTTGTCTCTAATGGCTTTTAATATTCTGTTCTTGTATTGGATTTCTGGAACTTTAATTATCATATGCCTGGGTGTAGCTCTGTTTGGGTTGTAGGTGGCTTGGGTCCTGTATGCTTCATACAACTGAGTATCTTTACCTTTTGCTAAATTAGGAAAATTCTCCTGCATTATTTCTGCGAGTAGCTTTTGTAGTTCATTTGTTTGTGTCCCTACTTCTTCTTTTATGTTCTTAATTCTTAAGTTATACGTCCCGTTATCATCTTCTAGTCTTTGTATTATTGCTGTTCGTTTCTTTGTTATCTTTAAGAAGTTTTTCATTTCATGCTCCCATATTACAAATCTGCCCTCCAGTTCAGATAATCTGTCCTTAGTTTCTTTCAAGCTGTTATGCTAGTTTTCAATAGAGTTTTTAGTTTCCTGGTAATCTCTTTGAACCTGCTTCATGTATTCTATGCTTTCTCTATTTTCTCCATTAAACAATTCTCCCCTCTTTTTCTGTTCTTCAATTCCACCATCTGTTTTTTCTTGGGTGGTGCTTAGCATTTCTGTAACTATTCTGCTTATGTCTAGCTTCAGGTCATTAATAACTTCATTCCTGAACTTGTCTCTGAGGCTCTGGAGATAGTGCTTTATATCTATTGGTACTGTGTCCGCTATTGCCTCTTTCTCAGGATTGGGGACTGAGGAGCCTTTCTTGTTGCTGCCTCTTCCCATATTCTTTGTTCCTTATATATGCAAGCATATATAGGAGGCCCAGCTTCCTTCCCTGTCAGCCACAATCTGATTGAATTGCGCCAGCTAGGTGTTCCCGCCCACTGCAGCACACCAGGAAGTTGCAGAAGAGGCAGCCTATGTGAAGCTGGCCCCTCCAGGTCACCTTCAGGCACTGGGACCTGGGTTGTGCTAGCTTACTGGTTCTCAGCCAGCAGCATCACGTAGGCTAGGCACTTCTCACTAATCCCACTTGACACGGATACATGACTGAAGTCAATGCAGCACCCTGTTCCCGCAAGTCTGCCCGGCCCCAGAATGTCATCTGTTGGAGTCTCCTAGACTGTGAAAGAGTCCCAGTTTCTCTCACTCACCGCAGGTCAATACACAGCTCCCTGCCCGTCCTGCTTTCAACTCCATTCACCAGTTCCCGTTCTCAGAGCTTTTGCTCATCTCTCTCCCTGCCAATTGGATGCAGATGCAGCGGCAGCGGCGGGAAACCCAGATCGTGGCTTTCAATGACGCAGGCTCCAGCTTCCACACTGAGGCTTTTCTGTTCCTGTTATAGCACCAGGATTGCATCCCCAGTTGGTTTCTCTCAGCCCAGTTCATTTTTGGGTCAGCAGGGCATATCTCCACTTGCTTATGATTCCTTACTCCGCACCATTCCTGAATTCTAAGCTGGGTCTTTCACAGAGCCTCCGTAGCTGTTGCTATCTGTCCTCCATGTTCTCCCAGAAGTCCACTGTTGTCCTTTTCATCTGTGCCCGGAATCTCTTGAGTATCCCTGACCCACTACAGCTTGGCACATTGCATCTCCTATACCAAGGATAAGACAGTGTGTGCTTTTCCTAAGTCACAGAAAGTAGATCCGACTGTTTTTCCCCTGTCTGCATTTCCGTATATGAATTCATTCTGCTTTGATGCATTTAAGCATTCTTGAAGCCAGCAAGGACAGAGGGAATGCTGGTACTAGAATGGCAAACCCAAGAAGTAATAGCACCCAACACCCTGTGCTGGAGTCACAGGTCAGGGGAGCTGTGTGAGGATGCGTGGAACACTGAGTCTTTGCAGACATTGCCGAACCTGCTGAAAAGAGAGCACTGGACACTGAGAAGATGACAGGACAGGAAGTTTCTCATCTGTGTGCTATCCCAGGCCTCTGCCAGGATTGTGAAGTCTGCAGTTTTCTGCTTGTCTTTTCTATACTGTAGTTGTTTCACCACTTCTTGGTTCCTGGATGGGTTGAGGTGTCTCCTAGTATTGTAGGCAGCTAAATTAGATAACATATTATAGGTAGTCAGGTAGGGCTTGGCCCTAGAAAGAACCAGTACAGAAGACAAAATATCTTGCAACTGTGGGGGAGACAGACATCTCTGCTGCAGGACAGACCTCAAGACAAAAGATAAAACAAATGCATCCACATACTCCTTAAGGATAAACATCAGAGATCAATATTCTAAATAGATATCCATCACTTTTAGGAAGCCAGGAAGAGCCAATAACTCAACTCCATATAGGAAAAACCCATTCTATATTCACGCCTGCTTGCTATGTGACTTGCTTCCATATTTGATCCTGATTTAATCAATTTTACCTGAGCAAATGTACTCACAACCTTTTTGGCGGACATTAGTTTTGTGTCACCTCATGCCTTCCTTGCTATTTCCCATTTTCCCCCACCTTGTACCCACCCTCACATCGTGGATTTGCTCTACAAAAATGTCCAGAAAATGGAGAGTCTTTGGTTACCCACTGGGGATATCTGCTGGCTGTCTCTCAGACAGAAGCTTTCTTTCTCTCAGTAAATGTATTCTGCTGTTATCCTCTGTTGTTCCTAAAATTCTTCTTTGATTTTAGAGAACACAAACCTGTACCACACACCTAGCAGGTTGGAAGTTTCTTCCCTATATCGCTACCTCTGAGCTGAGCCAGGGGAGTCACACTGCAATATAGTAACACAAGAGACCTCCCTGCACAAACTGGCTTGCAGGGATCACCACTGGTTGCTGAAAAGGCAGCAGGGCCAAATTTGAGTCATTATTTATTCATAAATGATAAGTCCTTGGAGCTTGCTGAATGACAGGGCTTTGCATCTGCTCCCCTGTAATATTTCTCTGGATGCTAAGTGAGCCCTGTGCATTAGCCATTTTTTCCCCATAGAATGTAGTTGCCCCTGTCCGTTTTTCATGTAGACAGGGACAGGGAGACTGCCTGATCTCTGCCTGCAGTTGCAGTCCAGGGATCTGCTCCTGAGTGCTTCCAGAAGAAGGATGTTCTCAAAGTGGATGCTATGGGTTATAACTAGATGTTCTCCTATAGCCTTAAACATTCGCATGTAGAGCCTTCGCAAGGTGATCAGATTATGAGGACTTATGGCTGCTTTGCTGTTAGAAGCAGAGCCCAGCTGGATGATGTAGGTCACTGTGTATGACCTGGAAGTTTGTACATCCTTTCCTTGCTCCTCTATTGATGCTTTTTGCTTCTTGGATAACATGCAATGGCAACTATATTCTTAACTATACTGTCTATAAAAACTGTAGGTTTTCTCCCACAAGAGAATCAGTGCTTAGATTTATAGAATATTTGTAAGTTTTGTTGGTTTCTCATCATTTAGAATTTACGTTACTGCAAAATTATACTGTGTATAATAGGACAATATTTTCCTTATAATTAATTTTGTTTTTATGTAAAAGTACGAAGGTGTTCAGCATAGTTGACTGCAGACTTGTGTTATTTTTTTTTTTCTTTATATAGTGCTCACAGCTTGGCAGATCAGCTAAGTGAACAGAACATGGAAAGGCTATGGCTTCTTCTTGGAGAGCAGCCAATAGTTTGTTTATGAAAATGTCTTCATTTAAGTGGATTTTTTATGGTCCATGGTTTCATTTTAGAACTTGATATGTTTTAATATATTGAAATTATGTCTTTGTCTGGTATTTTTACTGATAATGAGCACAAAACTGATATATACTAGTAGTGTACTTTAAGTAAAATGATAAATATTGAATTGAGGCCAAAATGTTGAAATATTGTGTTACTCAAAAAGTCTCTTTACTTAGTACGTTAAACCTCTGCCAGGTCCTATTGCTTAGTGTTCTTGAAATGAGACTAAGAGAACTTAATTTATTTTAACATTTTACATGATAAACTAAAATTATCTAATGCATTTATAGTCTATTATTTGTGGCTCATTGTGGGAAGAAAGTATAAGTGTGTATAATTACTTGGGCCATAAATATGTATTGAGGTCTTTTAATACCCTTATTTACTGTTTGGTGCAACATTTTGAAGTTGATGCTAAATTCTCATTTCCCTGAGGTTAAAAAGATTATGATTTGTTAAAGGCTTGTAAATGGTTGAATGTGAATTGTAACCAAGGCCAACTCCACAGCACAAAGTCTAAAAGACTCATTGTAAATTTTGTTCATAGGAATTCTTGTATTTGTTTCCTAGGGCTGCTTTCTCAAATCCACCACAAAATTTGTGACTTCAGGAAGCAAACTTATTTTCTCACTTGAGGAAGTGTGAGGTTTCTGGAGAGGTTCTAGTGAGGAATTCTGTTCCCTCCCTCAGCTGATGGTGTCTCAAGAATTTCCTTGTCTACGCAGCTTCAGTCTCTGCTTCTTCTTTCACAGCTTCTCTGTCCTATGTCTCTTAAAGCTTATTTTTTTTTTTTTGTCTCCTGTAGGGAAACTGGTTATGGGATATACGATGTTTCTCAGTCCAGGATGATCTCTTCCAGTGATCCTTCTTTGTTAGACTTGATGGTAATAACTTCCTTGCTTTTATTTAAAATTTTATAGTTCATTTAATAAAATGACTGCATTTTACACATTTTGGAATTTTATACAATGAAACAGTACTATATATATGACTTTTCAGTGTGCATCCTTCAGTTAATATTTTAAGAAACTTACAGGACTGAAGGTGGCTGTGGTTAATTTTCCTTACAATGTAGCTATACTTTTATATTATGGAATGTGTGTTATATTCTATTTTTGGCTATAGAAAACACGAGTTCTACAGATATTTTTATATATTTTTAAAATACCAAATTAACTGCTCAGCTTCATATGACATATGTAGTCTCTAGATGAAGACAAATGGTTTTTCAAAGTAGTAGTAGCAGTGTACCTCTCATTAGCAGTTTTATGAGAGTTCTCATTTTTCTCACACATTAAATAGCAAACGATATTGGCTGAAATTTCAGTTGCTTACTATTTTTATAGATATGTTGCTATATTTGATGGTCATTTAAATTTAAATCTCCCCAACTATCAAGGTTACTGAATGTGTTCATGGATATACTGAATTTATACTTTTAAGAACTCCCTGCTCAACTGTATTTTTTCTTCTTTTTTAATTTGATTATGTTTTGTTTTTGACTTTCTTCTTATGGTATAATTATGGTTTGGAGTTCATTATTGATTACACATATGGAAACTATTTTTTCTCTCGTGATGTTTATCTTTGTTGTCTTTTTCTTTTATGTTTTGATGAGCAGAAGTTCTTTTATTAGCGTAGTTAATTTTATCCATCATTTACTTTATGATTAATGTGTAGTGCTCTAAAAAATTTCTTTCCTCCTCTTTGCTGCTCATGTTTTTTTGTAATTTTGTTGCGTGTATTGATCACCAGCTAAACTCTTTTCTGATTAACATTTTTTAAGAGATGTTATAACATATAGCTTATAATCAAGCCTTACTTTTTTAGCATAATTCTGTCACTTTAAGAAATATTCTGTAATTAGTGTGCATAATTTTTTTTAGATTAACTTGGGTACCTATCTTAATTTACTCTTTTTTGTCTTCTTAGGAAACTTATTACTGTGAGCCCTAGCTGTCCAATAAGTATGAATGAAAGAGAATTTGTCTTGAAATTGATTTGCTCCGACAATGCTAAAAAAAAAGAATCTCCATAATAGATTTCCTTGTTGATCATGACATGTCATATTAGTCAGGTAATTGACTACAGGGAAAATTTGACCACTACCAAGTATTTTATATGTGACATGTAAATAATTTGTCTGATGAAAGCTGTAAATACAATATAACTGAGATAATTTTATTGTTGAAGACTGAGATTCAGACACTTTAAATAACATAGTCAAGGGCAAGCTAGGAAATTAAGGGATGAAATATGAAGACAAATATGATTATATTTTTGCTTCCCTGTAAGTTCTTTCTTTAAATGCAGTTTCAAACTTTAGAGTGGCAAACTCACTTATTTCAAATATCATCAATTTAAGTAAATGAGAGTTCTGTTTGAATCTAAACTATTCTAGACTTTGCCCTGCGAGCACTTACACGTTATCCAAATTCAAGCAGAATCACTTACTTTGAAATTCTTTTGCAACTTCTTCCTGTTATTTTATGTTTGTAAAATATAAAGGCATTTTTCCCTTTTGGTGAATTTTAGGGTGAGGCATAGGGAAACTTCAGAGACATCTTACTTGTGCAATTGAATTCTTAATGGTTTAGATCTTAGTCTCAAAAAGTCCATGTATTGAAAGCTTTATTGATGGTTGGTGGCGGAATCTTCAGTAGGTGGGGCCTAGTGAAAGAAAGTTACCTTATTCTGCATCCACCTGGGAAGACTGTAGTGGGGCTCTGTCCCCTTCTTTTCTCCTTGCTCTTTGGCCACCATGAGGTAACCTTACTCCCACCATATGCTCTTCATCATAATGCTCTACCTCACCACAGACCCAAAATAATGGAAGTAAAGGACAATGAACTGAAACATGATACCATAAGCCAAAACAAATCTTTCCTTCTTGTAGATTGTATCAGGAACTTGGCCACAGCACTAGAAAGCTGACTAGCATATGGACTTCAATTTTTTATTTAATTTTTCACACATATAACATACATGTGATTTATATCAGTGATTTAAGGAAAATATGGGCAAGAGAAAGGAAAAAAGATCCAATTTGGAGACATTCGCTTACAATTGTTCTGTAGTATTACTTGAAAGTATAGTTGCCTTTTCGAAAACTTATTCCCAGGAAGATAGTTTTTTTTTGTTTGTTTGTTTTTTGTTTGTTTGTTTGTTTTTCCCAGTTACGTTAATATAATCTTAGGAAACATAAATTTCAGTGGTTTAAAACACAGCAAATCATATTTATATGCTTGTAAAGGTCAGATTTCAAACTTCTGTCTCAGAAATTATTTTTTAGAAACAGACTCAGCATTTCCAGAAGCTTCTACTAGCTACAAACTGAACAAATAGATACCTGTGGATCTGGATGGGATAGAGAAATATATAAATGTAGGTCTTCTGACTCTAGTTACAAAACAAGAGGAGAACTTATTAAACAGGGAAGATTGCAAGAAAAAATTTTAAATGCAATGTCAACATTAATATAATACTTGAGGTTTTTTAATCCCTTACTGCCTTTCATCGTAGGATTATGGACATCTTACTTTTTAATTAATTCTTAAAAACTGTAATATCCACATAGTGATGAATTTTTGTGCAACTTTGGATATTCAAATTAAAGCTTAACTTCTCAAGCTGCTGTTAACTACTAGGGAGTAAGCCATTTTTGCAGGTCTTACTTATGATTTATTTTTAGCTATTTCTCACTTTGAAAAATTTCATTTGTTCTGAGATTTGAAATCTTAGCATACATGTGTTGCTTAAATAATTTGTTATGCTTTATAGTGATAACCATATTTTTTAGATGAGAAACAATAGAGACTACAGTCGTGGTATGCCAATCTCAAATGGTCTCAGGATATATAGCTGTTGTCCAAATATATGTGTTAACTGTTGACATCAATGAAAATCTAGATCATTCCACTGAGTGGTAGAGAAGAACAATTTGCTTAAAATCGTACTTTTAAGTTTCTTTGAGTCTATTTGATTCTCTCTCCTAGTACTGAAAGAAGTCCAGAGAGATTGAAATTTCCCAAAACTTAGATAGTTTTATTCAGAACATGAATCCTACATGAATCACTTTTGCCTTTAAAATGTTTATTATAAAGCTAGAATACGGTATGTTTCCTCTGATTTGAGATACAGATGGCAAAAATCTTTAGTCTGCCAAGAAATTTTATTTGTTTCTAAATTCTAACTGTCCATTATATGACTTTGTTATATTAAGATTTTAGTAGTGCAAATAAGGGTCAAGGCTTCTTTGTTGATGAAATATTAAATCACCCTTTGGCTTTTTCACATCTGACACTTACTTTCTACTTAATCTTTAAAAGCGGAAGTTCATGAGCTTTCCCTTAGTGGAGTAGTTGGATTTTATTCATGATCAAACTCATTGAAACCTGCCAACCATATAAAAACAGTTGCCAGTATGGGAGAACTCTTCCTTGTGTTGTGATTAAAAGGGTTTCACTGTTTAAAAGTGAACTTAAAATAAATATGTATTCCCCCCACTACAAAGGAGTGCTTGCTGTTTGCCACAGGTGGCTTTCTGTAAGAACAAGAAACAGAGTAGACTTGTGTCACAATATCTCCAGCTATGTTTTCAAATTCTGATTGTGTGCGCATGTTCAGAATAGTATTTTTTTTAATGAGGAATATTTTAGCTGAATCCAAAATAAAATGAGATAGTGACCCATGAAACTTTTTTGGGAGGAAAATGGAAGCTTTTACAAACTTTTGCCTTCTAAGGTTTGTGGGAATATGTTTAATAAGGCCATAGCATTATTAAGCAGTAGCCTTTTATCTTGCTCCAAGGATTTTTGATCTGGGTCCAGAATGCAATCAGAAGCATAGACTATTAAAGCTAGAGACAACCATGCACGTCATCTAATCCATTTCCTAATTCTAAAGGGGAAGTACCTAAGATTTAGATAAGTTAGTTGATTTGTTTTAAATGACGATGTAACATGGCAGTTAGAATCCTAGCTCCTTGTCTCCTACTATTTTCTGTAGGGCTATATTTTCTGAGTATCCAAATAGAAATGAAGAGGACTGATATTAAAATTTTTTAACATTTAATACTTCCTAATTTTCTTTAGAAGGTTTTTAATATTCAAGTCTTGAATAAACCTTGTTTCTTTTCCGCTACCCAATGGAGTCCATTTTGTCATTCAGAGACCTTTTTGTAATAGTTTCACATGAAGATATCATCTCAGTTTTACTCTAATTGTAGGGGGAAACTATTTTTAGCATTAGAAGCATAGCAATCACAAATATCTATAGGTGCATGCACATTTATGACTAAACAAAAGTATTCCTTTGCCCAGTAGCATAAAGTCATGCATTTTCATTGAATTACACCTGTATTTCCTCACTGTAGTCCTGAGGAATCGGTCTGACAACTCAGCAGAAGGTAGCTCAATAATGCATTTTTCTAGAACATATTCAAGTCATGAACTCATTTGCTTTAAGTAAGGACAGTTGTTTCAGTGCTTTATGGGATTCGAGTTCATGGGACATTATTCAAAATTTATAGCATAGCATTATAATTTTATTACAGGCATTATATCATTAATGTATAGTGAGTTTGTCAGGTTAACCATTATTTAATAGTTTTTAAAAATACTTTGAATATTTAAATTGGAGCTGTTGAAAAGATAAACATGTATGTTATTGTACACAATTTTGGAGAAGAAATTATTTTCTTGCTAGAGCAATACTTTTGTTTTCCAGGTATCTTTTGTATTTAATAGCTGCTCCTCTTTAATTTGTTCACAATTAAATCATTAAATGAATTTAATACTGTATATGTTTTGAAATACACAAAAAAATTTTGCCAAAACTTTTAAAAGGCATTCCATGGCGCTAAAAATCTGCTTTTTATGGCTCCCTTTGGATGTGAGCCATGACAGATTAGTTTAGTCTTTATGTCTTAATCATAATTTATCCCTAAGCAAAGTCTTTGTGAACTTTTTATTACAATCAAAGATGCAGCATAATAAATGACTTTTTCAGTAGTTAAGACAGAATACGTGTACAAATGAATGATAATACATTATCAGGGCAAAACAGTCTTTAACTAAAGAAAACATGACATTTTTATCACAAAAAAATTCAGCAGCACTTTTCCCCACAAGTGAAATGCATTTGGAGTGTCCTAAATTTTCATATCATGTATCCTTTCTGCTGCTCTCAGGCTAATGGTTAATGGCACTCTTAGAGGCATGCCTGAGTGCACTATTAAGCTCCAAAAGAAAACGTGGCTGAATAATATATTAAAATACACATGATTGAAATGAAAATGTTTACTTTTCTAAAGCATGAGATTACTAATAGAATGACAGAGTTAAAGGTCAGTTTTGGAGTAAGCTCTCACACGAATTTTATGAACATATCTTAGAAGATATGAGAAAGAAAAATCAACAGTGTAGCAAAGTGGTCCTCTTAAAGAAATACTTTATAGTTTCCTTATAAAAATAAAGAAAAAACATATGAACTTTATTGAGTGCCAGGGTATAGTTATGGAGATTTTAAAAAAATTCTCCCTGTGTAATATGAAGAAAAAAGGAATGAAAAATATTCTAAAAAGGAAAATAGAGTAGAGAAACTTGAGAAAGCTAGGAAGATGATGGGGTGTATATTAAAAAATGCAATCACATGGAATACCAGCAGAGAAAATGGTGAAATGCAGCCTATCCTTTTGTTCCTGGGATCAAAGCCTTTATTCCTGTAGATTGGTGGAATCTTTTTGATTCTCAAGGTCCCTTAACCAACACCTAAAATGAAATTAAACCATATTCTGTGCCATTATAAGCCATCTCTCTTTCTGAGTATGATTTTAAATTTTATTTTTTTAAATATCAAAGAAATTACATGACAGAAATAATTCTCAAAGCACTGCCTAAAGTTTAGCTGTTTCTTTTTTACTAGAATCAGAAGAAACAGAGTATGTGCTCTTATTTATTTTAATGAATTCTTTTATTACAAAATTCGACAGAAGAATCCAAGGAAAGAGAGGGGAGAAAAACCCTCAGAGACTTTTTTATTTTCTTAGCTGACAGGAAACCATATGACTTTCAGTAATTTTTTTTTCCTCTATGTTTACTGAGTGTAAAATCTGTCTGAAACAAGACAATGCAGCAAATGCACATTTAGAGTTGTTGTTTTCATCGCCATCCTCACTGTCCTGTCCCCCCCGCCCCCGAAAGAAAGGGTGTCATTGCAGGTGATTGCCAGGGTAAATTTTTTTAAAGTTGCAAATTCTCTGAGATTTAATGTGCACTGTGACTCTTACTAAGAAGGGAAGGGGTTTGGAAGATGGAGATTCCAAACCGAAGTTTGTGGACCTGGACTCTGGGTGCTGTGAGTTACAAACACTGGAAAAATTGGATGGTAACCTGTTATGAGCACTGCACACTTTACCTGTGTCTGCCTGAAAGCTTGTAGCTCTGAGGATTTATGGAAAAACAGAGAAGGCAGGATGGCATCGCCTGACATAATCCATCTCATTTCCACCACAGTGAAACATATGTTAGCAAAGTAGTGGTATAAAGTTGACAAGTTCGTTTTCAGCAGTGACATTCCCTAGATATTATTCCTCCCAGGAGGAAGCTGGGTAGTTAGCACAGAGAGTGCAGAAATTAGGAATGCAGCTCACTGCTACTGCCTGTTGGATACATAAGATTCTGCTTAAAAGATTGATGCCCAAATTAATATGTTTGTTAAATGAAAAGAAAGAATTCCAGGTAGCCATGACCTGTGTATACACTTCAATAAAGGTGGTGACTTATAATTGAAAATATTTGATCATCCACAGATCAAATCTCTTTGAGGTTGCCAAAGACAGGTTTCTTTTGTTGCTGTTTTCTATAAAACCTTATTTTTTTGATATTTCTTCAATGAAAGTATTATTTTATTTTAACAGTAACAAAATTTCAAATTCTGTACCACTCAAAGCAATCTTGGGAATATTTTGAGGTGAAAAATGACTGCAACTGTGAAGTATACAGTCACATTAGTTCATTTCAAACACTAAAATATAACGTGTAGTCAGGGATTGCAAGGAGAATAATTACATACAGGACACATAATTTATAGCATTATTAATAATGGTCACACAAAAAAATTAAAAACAAAGAAAGTGTAGGACATTTGTCCACACACTAAAGACCTAGGAAATCCAGCTGAGGGTCTGAATCCCATGGCAATAACCTGCATGATTTCAGCTGAAAACCCAGAGCCCACAATAATGATCAATGTAAGTCTGTCCCATGTGTGTGTACCAGGAAGGCCCAAAGGTCAGAGGTGAAAGTCAAAATGTCTATGCCAGCAGGAAAAAGGATCTGTGCCAGTAAGATGAGTGTTCTACACTGAAGCCAAGAAGTGACATTCAAAATAAGGACCAGGACTCTCCTGTGAAGCACCACTGTCATCCTCAGCAACAATGAGGTTCAGAGCTCTCCCAGTGACAACAGTGGAATACATATCATGAGGCTAGCATGACAACCTTCCGGAGATTGAATAGCATGCATCATTCCTTCCAAGACCAGAAAACGATGCTCAAAGAAAAGACTAGAGCCTCCCGCCCTCCCAAGGGAACCTCATCCATCCTCAGTGACAAGGTTCCAAGCTCCTTCAATGTGAATAGCAGAGTTCATATCAGAGGCGCGAGCATGATAAGCTCTTCCTAGAGAACCAATAGCTCCAATCAACAACAACACTAAGGAGAACCCACAATGCTACTCTTCCTCTCGAGGTCTCCTTTTTATGCTGGCAACAGTCCTCAGGTGGGCCATCTACACTCAGTACCATGCTGACTCAGGTCAGCTGGTATTTAGGTTGACCACCAATTACCAATCCATAGTATCACTTATCACTTTATTGAATGTAGGAAATGTGGTGTGTAGTTTTTACATAGATGGTGCACTATTTGCAGCCTTTTCTCTGCTTGTCTTCTGGTGTGCTTTTGCAAATATTTCTTCAATGCATATGTGTAGAAGTGGAATTGTTAGATCAAATGCATGTATTCAAAGATTCTTCAAGAAATGTAGAATTTTTTTTTCTCTTTACCAGTTATGATACTTGTAACCGCTCCACACCATTAGAACCAGCTGGTGTTTTCAGGCTTTCTGTGTTGGAACCAAACTGGTGAGTATTGTGGCATAGCAATTTTAATTTGGAATTTCTTCCTCACCAGTTAGCTTGGGCATCACTTATGTTTTGAGGCCATTTGGATTTTGTCTTCTATAATCTTCTTGCTCCCATCCTTTATCTCACTTTTCAAAATTGTGTAGCTTATGGCTTTTAATTGATTTTTTCAGGTTCACTTCATATTCAGAATATGAATTCTTTATCAGTTTTACATGTTGCAAATATCTTTTTCTTTTCTGCTTCATCTTTTCACTTTATGTTGTCTTTGATGATTTCATTAAAGAGAAAAAGTCATTCATTTTAAAGTGCTTCCTGTATTTGCTTAAAAGTCCTTTTCAAGATTCTGAAGATGCTCTTCTCTAGTTTCTTGTTACCATTTTAATGCTTCTCAAGGTTGTTTCATTTGTATGCTTTTATTTTTTTTAATATCTAAGTCTATAATTCACCAGGTGTCACTTTTTGCTTAGTGTAATTGTTATGTTCTATTTTATTTTTTCCATACATATCCTATGTCTTAATACATCTGATATTTTTCTCAATAATTTCCTTACAAATCTGAATTGCTTTCTTTCATTAATAATCTCTCCACATATGCAATGGTCTATTTGGATTCTCCATTATTTCTCTGGTCCATGGTTATCTTTGTGCCTGTACCAAGTCATCATAATTATGCATCTTTTTTAAAAATTCTATTTAAAAGGAAAAAGAGAAAACAAAACAAAACAAAACAGTGTAAGGGTACAAGTAATACAGAACTACAACAAAAATTAAGAAATCACCAGTTAATAGATTACACATTATCATCTTAGAGATAGTTGCTCAAGTCACAGGATCAAAGCATACAAAGTGGACATTCAAACAGTGAGACTGCAAACAGTTGTGTGCAATGATCCAACCAAAATCATTAATATGGTCATCTATTTAACACACCTAAACACACTTGCATTTGTATCTTTTAGAGCACTTTTTTTCCTCTCTTTTTTACAACAAAATTTACACATTTTGGGTTTTATTACTCCCATAATTTTATTACTTTTTGTGGAAGAGAATAAAATCAAATATCACAAAACAAAGCTGTCATTCAAAACCATAGCACATGTTGTAAAAACAGAGTACAAGGTTATCAACAATGGTTACCATTAATGCCTCTTGCTTCCTTAAAAATAATTGTCTATCTCATTAGGTATTATAAAGTTGAACAAAACAGTAGAGAACAAGACCAATAAAACCTAAACATTGTAAACATTACAGGACTTCAAAAGAAGATAATAGTCAAACCAGAATGGGCATCATAGTGAATCTTATTGCCTCCAAAGTAGTTGTCTATAACCTCAAACTTGATACTATCATACAAAACAGAACAGAGTCTAATCAGTCAAAACAAGATAGTGGGAGTATTACAGGACTTCAAATCAAGTTAATAGGAAATCAAAAATGTTACTATAATATATCCTGCTAATTTTTTATTTTTCCTTTTAATTAAAATAATAATAAAAATAACTAATCTTTTTAATGAATAAGGGAGAGATTGAGATAAAAGAGGACATAACAACATAACAATGCAGGTCAAAGCATGACAGTTTCAGTAACCTAGTGCTTCACCACCAAATAACCCAACTTAATAGTAGTTACCATAGTGTCTTTTTCTTTAAAATATTTGAATATAACTTCATATACTATAACATCAAACATATCAAGACAGTGTAAAACCATTCAAGTGGATGAAAGCATTGTAGGGTATTTAGAATCAGCTAACAGAAAACGAACAATGGTTTCTATATTATCTCTTTGCCTATAACAATTTTTGTTTATACTATCACATATAATAAAATCCAGCAAGATACAACATGATAAAATCAATGGAGACAGAAGAGCCATAGTTTGGTGGGGCTTCAAAACAAGATGGTATTAAATCAGCACTAGCTATTATGATGTCTTGTTTTCTTCAAAATAGCTGTTCATTTCATCACAGGCAATAGTATCAAGCAGCCCAGAATAAAGCCATTCTAATTAATAAGTGAAAACTTTATAAGGCTTCAAGGCCACATAATGGGGAATAATAATTACCGCATACTTTTATATATTTGAGTCATTTCCTACACTAGGAAAACTATTCAGTATTCACACATGTGAGTTTGATTTATTTCACTTATAAGTATGGTTTCAAGCTGCGCCCATTTATTGATAAATATCTCAATGTGATCCTTCTTTTTAGCTGAGTAGTACTCCATTGTATAGAAATACCACAACTTTTTTATCCATTCCTCAGTTGATGGACACTTGGGTTGTTTCCAAGATCTGGCAATTATAAATTGTGCTGTTATAAACATAGGTGCGCATATATCACTGTGGTATGATGCTTTCAGTTCTTCTGGGAATATGCCTAGAAGCAGAATAGCTGGAACAAATGGGACTTCCAATCCCAGCTTTTTGAGAAACCTCCAGACTGACCTCCACAAAGGTTGTACCATTTTACACTCCCACCAACAGTGAAGGAGAGTTCTTTTTCGCCACAGCCTCTCCAGCATTTGTTGTTGGTGGTTTTCTTGATCCTGGCCATTCTTTCAGGAGTGAGATGGAATCTCAGTGTGTTTTAATTTGCATTTCTCTAATGACCAGTGATGGTGAACATTTACCTTAAAATCAGGCACAAGGCAAGGATGTCCTTTATTACCACTCCTATTTAATATAGTACTGAAAGTACTAGCCAGAGCAATTAGACAAGAGAGAGAAATAAAAGGGGTAAAGATAGGAAAATAAGAAGTTAAATTATCATTGTTTGCAGATGACATGATACTCTACATAGAAGACCCCCTAACCTCCATTGAAAGACTCTTAGATATAATAAATGAATTCAGTAATGTAGCTGGATACAAAATCAATACTCAGAAATCAATAGCATTCCTATACCCTAACAACAAAATCACAGAGAGGGAAATAAGAGAAACCACACTCTTTACACTAGCAACCAGAAAAAAAAAAATGAAATATTTAGGAATTATTCTTACGAAAGAAGTGAAAGACCTATACAGGGAAAACTATAATACACTGAAAAAAGAAATTGAAGATGATCTCAGAAAATGGAAAGACATCCCTTGCTCATGGATAGGAAGAACAAACATTGTAAAAATGGCCATTCTCCCAAAACTGTTATACAGATTCAATGCAATCCCAATAAAAATACCATCAACATACTTTATAAATCTAGAGAAATCACTCCTAAAATTCATCTGGAACCAGAAGAGACCTAGAATAACAAAGGCAATTCTAAGCAGCAAAGGCAAGGCAGGAGGCATCACAATCCCTGACTTGAAGTCATACTACAAAGCAACAGTAGTAAAATCAAAATGGTACTGGAATCAAAACAGAGCAGAGGATCAATGGAATAGATTAGAAGATGCAACCACAACTACAAACACACTCAACCACCTTATCTTCGATAAAGGAGCCAAGCAGGTTCACTGGAAAAATGACAGTCTTTTTAATAAATGGTGTTGGAAAAACTGGCTCTCCATGTGCCCAAAGCTAAAACTAGACCCATGCCTCTCACCATATACTAAGATAAAATCTAAATTTATCAAAGATCTAAATATTAAAACAGAAACACTAAATCTATTGGAAGACAAATTGGGTAGAAACATTGAAGACATAAGGGTAGGTAGAGAATTCATTAACAGGACTCAAACCGCACGGGAAATACTTCCCAGAATCAATAACTGGAACCACCTCTTATTAAAAAGTTTCTTCATGTCAAACAAAATGTCCAGCATAGTGAAAAGAAAACCCACAAACTGGGAAAAGATCTTAGTGAGCTCCTCCTCAAACAAGGGACTTCTGTCTAAAACATATAAAGAATTAAAAAAACTCAGACCCCCAAAATTCAAAGATCCAATCCAAAAATGGGCATCTGAGATGAATACACACTTCTCAGATGAAGAAATACAAATGGCAAATAAATACATGAAAAAATTGTTGTATCTTTATAACATGTTATTATATTATCTAAAAGAGTATGTAATTTAATCTTGTCAATATCTTTGATCTTGACTGTTTGATTTCTAGATAAATGTTTCAGTTAAATGACCAAGTATGCTCCCAGTCTCAAAATTCTCTTTTCCAGTTGCATTTTCAGTTTACGTATTAAGATAATACCTCTATCTACAATATAGATATTTTATTCCATGAAAATACTGTATATCTGGATTTATTCAGTGTTTTATTTTAATATCACTCAATAAAATACACAAAATTCTACAGCAGTTTTATAGTCATTACTAACAATTTGATAATGTTATGAATGACATTCAAAGTGGTTTTCACTGGCTTATTGCTGGTACCGGAAAATTCAGTTCAATTTTGCATATGATTGTCTTTCTTGCAATGTTGCTGAAGTCATGCTGACTCAAACATGTTAACTGTATGCTATTGGGTATTTTCTTAGAAACCAATCACATCACCTTCCTTAAAATTTATATATTCTGTTTCCTCCTCTTGTCTTACTTACCAGAGATTCCTATTCAGAGATTACTGCAAACCTTTTCGTATTCCCAATATCAAAGGGAATGCTTTCAAAATTAAATATGGTATTCATGGTAATGTTCTTAATGTATTCTCCTAATTTCAAGGAACTTGTCCCTTAGAATCTGGCCACATACTTGTTGTTAATTAATTTTATATATTATCAAATGCTTTGTCTGCATGTCCCGTATGATTTTTATTTCCCTTTAAAATTTTAAGGTGGCTAACTACACTTTTTTTGGTATAAATCTGAAGTAATCATATGTTATTCTCTTTATATTATCTTTTTCTGTGAATTTTCAAATTTTCTAAATGATTTCTTACTTGTATTTATAGATGGGATAAACTTGACATTTCTTTTGTCAGTTTTTCATATCTAAGCCAGCGGTTTTCTTTGTGGGAGGTTTTCAATGATGTTGCAATTATTAAATTGATTGACTGTAACACAAATATGAAAGATTGATTTACTGGTCATGGGAAAAACAGACTTTGCACTTACTAGATTAGTTTTGTTAAGTTACACTTGACTAAATATTTTTCCATTTTTAAAATTTTAAACGTATTATAATATTTGTCCATAATATTTCA